CCCCCCCCGCAGCTTGTGACTGGGGGGGGGATTTGTAACACACATTTTCTTAGTTTACTTTTTCGCGTATTTACTTGTTCCATAGCGCCACGTCCGGGGTCGGAGTGGCGCGCCACGTACAGTCTCAAGCCGCGTTTCGGCATCATCCGTATACACGTGTATAGTCGGAGTTGTAATCGTAGCCGACCTGTATTTAGTGTCGCTTCGCCCTCTTCGGAGGGCGCATCTTACTTGAATTCAACGTTTCTTTTCTCTTCTTCTCTTTCTCTCTGTCCGCGCGCGGTACGCCTCCCACGAGACGTATCGCTCAAGGATAAGGCTCGTGAACTCTCTTCTTTTCCTCTTCAACTCTCTCTCGACGATCCGGGCCGCCGGATCATCTCGGATTCGTTTCCGTTCTCTCCCGCGACGCTGCCACGTCGTGTTCGTTCCCACTTCTCTCTTCGTTCTCTCTTACTCTCTCTTTCTCTACGTTCGTCTGCCCGTCTCGCTCAGAGGCGCCCTCGTCGAGCGGGCAGTCTTTGAATTCTTATTCTAGCAATCTATCTCTCTCTCCTTCTCTTACTCGTAATACTACGTGCGTGACAGTCGTTCCGGTGAGACCCCAGAAGTCGGTGTCTCAGCGACATCTGAACAATGTCGACCGGCAGCAGGTAAGTAAAGTTTCAAACAACATGATCGGACTTGAAAGACATGTAGGCTTACCTTTAACTTTGATTATGCTAGGAATCCGTGGCTTGAAGAGAATAATACAAAAGGAAGCGAGTTCAACACTTCGCATGGATACACGTCGAAGGTGTCCACAGAAAGGAGCGGAAAGGGCGTGGGTGTGTCACTGAGCTTTTTCGGGAGTTTCCGAGAACAGTGACACCCCAGGTGGCGACAAGGTGGCGACAAGGTGGCGACAAATTTGAGACCCATATTTATTCCTGACTGAATCCCAGATACTCTCGAGAGGAAACAATTCGCACAAAGATTGTATTACGAAAGGGCATGGTCTACATTATCCACTCGGTATGTATATAAAATGCATCGCTCCAAGTAAGTACTCTAGACGATGAGAGCGGAAACGTTGGGGTTCGCAAGTCCCGGCAACGCTACGCGTGTCAACCGAGAGTGTACTCTACCTGTAATTTGCGGAACATGTATATCTGAAGCCTCTCCTGAGAATAAAAGGGCCGCATTCGATCAATACACCATCGAGTTTTGGTCGGTAGACGTAACCAAAGGACGACTCTTCTTCATCTGATAGAGGTTGTCCAAGGTACGAAGGCGGGTGAATTTGTCGACGGGGACAGGATAGTCGGACTAGAAGATACACATTCATCATTAACACCCGTGTCATGCATGCAAGGGGAAAGATACTCACCGTAAAATGTATCCGAGGATCCACGTTGAATGTCACATTTTTCTTCGCACACTCCCGCTTCAAATCCTCATATACATCCGCATACAGCCCACTCGCACCATGATTCGACGTGAAGGTCTCCAGCTCCGGACACTGTTTCAGCACCCACCTTCCCGTAGAAATCCCACGACTCTCCCTCCATACATTGCTGGAGTTGTGATACCTATAATGCCTCAACGTCGGCGGCAGATAGTCGAAAGTCCACCACATCTGAAAACAATCCTTGAGGACGAGCTCTTCTAGATTCTCGAAAGACCGAAGACTTCCTGCCAGATTGTTGATCTGTGGTGTATCGGAGAGCCGCAAAGATTGAACGAACGGCGCGTACGGTCCGTAGTGCCAATGGTTCCCTTCGAATAACTCTGGTATCGACATTTCGAGGATACGCAACGACGGTCGAAAGTCCGTTTCTTTGCTATTCGGCGGAGGAAGTAGCCAGTCCAGTACGCGTTTGTATAAATGCGAATGAAGTACAAGTTCGTAGAGAGCGATGGGAGGTCGCTCAGATGGAATTGCCGGAAGATCCACGACCTTATTTTTGCAGGAGTTTCGGTAGGAAAAGTGACGGATTGTTGGCCAGATGAAAAAGAGTTGGGTGATCGACTCCAACATTTCGCAGTAGAAGACGACGTCGAGTGACCGGATGTTCAGTGATAACGCAGACAGACGAGCAACCTCGTCTTCCTCGAAGCTAGATATGTTGATGCGGAGGCCAAGGTGATATAGGTGAGGACAGTTGGAAAGTATCTGTTCCAGAGAAGTGACAGGGAATGCAGGCGTTCCGGGCCTTGGCTTCTTGTTTGGAGGAGAGATGCGCACGCCTAGGTCGAGGGAGAGGATACGATTTCCGATGCCCCGTTGATGCGTCAGGAATCTATCAAGGTCAGGAATAGACTTCTGGGAGAAAACGTTTACTCGCGTCGTGACGCGATGGAAGAGGAGCCTCTGCGCGGGGGCAGTCCAGTCCTTGCTAACCAGGGTGCATGAGCGAAGAGTAGACACCTCGGCATGGATTCGTTGTGTGTCAGGCTGACACAGAACCCATTCAAGGATATACGTGACGAGTTCGGGCGCAAGGAAACGGCGCGACATCCTATGACCAAGGGGAGGATTGTATAAATTAGCCTTGTAAGTATAAGAGCTAGACTGAGAGTTGAAGAGCGTACCAATGTTGATATCACTAGTTTGGGTGATGATGGTGGTCGAAGGAAACCACTGTTCGAGTGCAGCAGACAAAGGAACGTTCACGTTATTGTTGCGTGGCGTTTTCGCGGGAAGTTCCGTGAAGAGTCGCCACAGCGAGATGGCGAGTTCGTTTGACAGGGCATAGGATGTAGGTATTTTCCATGGCTGTCGCATGAAGATTATAATAAGAGTAGTTTATGTACTGTATGTACTAGTCCATGGTTCCGAAGTTCTAAGCGTCCCATTCTCACTCAACTACTCGCCGCGTCCACGTCCACTGTCGGAGGAGTCGAAGGTCTGACATTGATACTGGGGACACCTCTCTCCTTTGCTTCTCTAGCTTCTTTTTCCTTCTCCTCCTTAACTCTCCGATCTTCCTCCTCTTCCCATGCCTTTAACTCACTCTCGTACTCATCCCACACAAGCGTTCCCAACGCTTCACCGCCCATTTCTTCATCATCTTTCGTCTTCGTCCTCTGAGATCCAGTCGCACCACTCTTCTTATCCTTTTCATCTTTCTCGGAAGGAGCGGCTTCGCCAGAGTCGGTCTCTGGAGGCGTTGGCGGAGGGGGTACGTTGATTCTGACGACAGCGCATTCGGTATAGAGAGCTCCCGGCTTGAGAACTTCGCTGTCCCTCTCGGCGTCTCCGGTCGATTCGGCCTCGTTGGCAGCGGTCGCATCGAGGAATTTGAAGGGTGTAGGGAGGAAGAGAGCGTGTAGGATACTTTGGAGAGTGGAGTTCGAGTTCTTCGCTAGGATGCGGAAGAGCGGGTTCAATAGAATATATCTTGGGGATTTCGGCGTCAGACTTGCGAGGGTATCATTGAAGACGAATGCAGGACACTCACAAAGCTAGGCCCCTCCACGAGACTGAATGACGCTGACTTAGGTCTGCTCCAAGTAGAGGCGCGACGATGTCGTGCCGACTCATGCCGGGCGAAACGGTCACCGCTACAATATTCGAACGCTGTACCTTGTCGCTAACAACAGGCACGATAGGTGTATTGGTGTCCGCACGAGGTACCTGCGAGCTCGTCGGTAATGCATCAAGGATGCGTTGAAGATGACGCATCAAGACGGCCGTTCGAAGTGCACGCTGTCCCTCCGTAAAGAAGAGCGATTTGGTGACTGATGACGGTGGTGCATTCGGAGGGGATGGCGCGAATTTGTTTGAGAAGAGGGGGGCGGCGGCAGCGTAGAACGGGTTGATGAGGGTGATAAGACGAATATCGCGTTCGACGGGTGCGACGAGGAGAGCAGGGAGTAATAGTGTGGTAAGCAAGAAAGTCGAACATGAAGCTGCCTGTCTCTGCCTGTCCTTCTCTGCGGAACCTCTCGAGAATATGGAACCGATAGTGGCGTACTCGTGGGCAAAGATGATAGCATCTATTCTTTGTTCTTCTCCTTTTACGAAACCGGTGCAGAATGCTCGTATAGACGAGACGGAATTGAGGTCGCAGTGTTCAGCGTAGATGTTCTCGTTGTTCGTCGTACTCCGGAGAAGAGGAACCATGACGCTCGATGGCCCTGTCTCCACATCATCCGGCGTGAGTGCGATTATATGTGCGCCCCTTCGAGCGAGTGAATCGATTAATGTCAGCCCGAGCGGCGTGAAGGCTCCCTTTGTACGTACGTGAACATGTTAGTAGTGCATGAGTTGGAGAGGGTGGAGAGACGCAACGGTTATGAGAATTATCCTGGCATGTAGATCTCGTTCTCTGTTCGTCTTCCGGCCCTGCGCATAGGTATAAATCGTCACAAGGGCGGCCACCGCAATCAAGGCATGGGTGTAGTACTTGGGAAGTAGGACCGCGTCAAGGAGAGCGTACGCAGCCTTGAGTACCATGGCAGCTGGATATTACGCCGCGTCCCTATTTTATGAACTATGATATATATATAATCTGTCAATTTATAACACACAAATAAGAGCCCTCTCTCCTTACTGGGGAAGGAGACTGGCGAAGATGAAGGTTTCGTGAGAGCAGTCGTGAGTTCGCTCCCCACGAGCTTGCGGTGGAACATCGCTGGCGGTCCGATGCACCGTGTGGCGGAGTCGCGATGTGGCACCAGAATGCAAAGTCCAACAGGCCCGCTCGTCCAACTTATAATAAGCAGACACCCAAAATCCCAGTGACTACTTTCAGGTTTCACTCGAACCTTTGACAAGGAGCTGTGCTTTTTTTATTGCAGCTGGTCATCGAGGTCAAAATTTCCAAACTTTGTACAGCTCGAGATCGCCGGGCAAGACAAAGAATGTAGACCAGTACATATGTGTGACTCAAGGGGGGTAATACATTCGATAAAGGTCCGACAAAGAATGACCATGGACCGTGATAAATATGGAAGTCGCAGCCGTACTCAGTAGGTGCCGCCGGAGACCTGCCATGCAACAAAATCAGTGCAAGTCGCAAGGTACATCTTCAAAACTACACACCGTGGCATCGTCAGAGTCGACTACAGACGTCTTGCCGCCGGAAATATCCAACTCGGAAAAGTCCCAGGTACCAGTGCAATCTCCGCAGTCGATAACCAGATTAGTGCCACTCGACTCGACGGCGACGCTGGTCTTGCTGCCGGTGAAGTTGATGTCGCTAGTAAAATGTGTAAACACCAGTGAGGAGTGGAGGGTAGTACGAAACATACGAAATGGTACTAGTGGTTCCAGGCGTGCCATCTGGAGTTGAATTGTCAGTTGAAGATTCAATGGATGTACGGGTTTTGGTTGAATACTCACCATTGTCAGGGTAGCTCTGGGTAATGAGGACACCGAATTCTTCGATCCCGGACAGCGTGTTCCTAAAACAACAACGCTATATCAGCGCCTGACTTTGCATTTCTCTCGTGAAATAGACAATTTTACCCTGAGTAGGTCACATCCGAGACAGAGGCATCGCTCGCATCGCTTGTTGTATCATCATCAGCGCAGAGCTCAGGTCAGCTGGATTTGCTCAAGACAACGTACGCATCGACTTTGATCCTTATTCCATAAAGACTGTCTGAGACCGTGTTGCCCGAAATTGTCACCCCCGACACCGTCTTGCCCGTTGCGATAGACCCTATCGAAATTCCTGAAGACCATGTCCGTCAAATTGAGCATTGTAAGCGGCGAGCAAATATCCCAACCGTGACCACTGCAGCGAGAGAGAACAAGGTCAGATACGGAAGAACGCCTTTACGAAGGTACGTACCCAGAGCACGTATTGTCCTCAAACACAATCGTCGAGCCCGAATTTATGGCAAGGCTTTCATATTTCCGCATCGTGAGAACCGCAAATCTCCGAGTCCGTGGAGGGACATTGAATGGCTCACCAATCGTCCTGATTCTTGACTGTGCTGCTCTTGATAGTAACGTCCGACGCACTCAGGTCGAACCCATCCGTGTTATGTCCGAGGTCGTCGACGTCACCAGCAGAGTTGTCAACGGTTACGCTGGAGATGACGGTGGTATCGGAGGTCCCGATGGAGATAGCTTGGGCGGGCGAGTTGAGGACCGTGAAATCCTCGAAGGTGCCGTAGCCCTTCAGCCTGTGCGGGACCTAAGGTGAGTAGAGTATAGGAGACGAGAAGGGAGACGCGGACACACTTGACGAAGGGGTGCTGAAGGAATGATACCGTGAGCACGTAATCGTCAAATAAATATATCGCTTTGGCATACCGGCTTGTCGACCCCACCGTTGGTCCCCTGTCCGTCCCAATAATCTTGAAGGTTGCACATGAGTCACACAGTATGAGAAAAAGTTAGAAACCAGACTGACCTGCCCCATTCCCGTCAATAGTGAATCCCCCTCCGTTGAAGGTAACATCCTGTTAGAGCTGTTAGCCTGGGATGACATATTCTGGAAAAATATTACTTGCGTCGGTGTCAATTGTGAGTAATGGGCCATCCGCTGATTGGGAAAAGTGTCTATGAACCAATTTATTGAACGCGGTACGTAGGTGCTCACCAGTAGTCGATGCGAAGGTGATGTCTCCGGTGAGGGTGATTGTGGCGCCTGAAGCAGCCTGACACGAACAAAGAACGATTTAACGTCTGAAGCGATCGAAGCTACAAATTTAGAAGCATACCGAAATAGTGACGGTGTCTACAAGGATAGAGTGAAGCCCAGTCAACCAGCGAAGACAATCATGCATAGTAACGCATACCCCCATCATCGACCGTAAAAGCCTCAATTACAACCGTGCTGCAGTCGTCCAAGGATTCCGAAGTAGAAACGCTATTCACGGTACAAGTGGCCCGCTTGGCAGTATCGGCACCTGTAGGCGTCGACAGCGCCACACCAGCTAACGTAGCAAGCTGGACGGCAGCGAGAAGAGGGAGCATGCTGAAGAATGTGAAGTTGAAGATGCTGAACCGACACTGTAGCAAGCTTGATGGCGGAAAGCAACGTCTATATAGTTCTTTGAGCGTCCTGGCGGCCCGTACGGATGATTGAGTAGTGACGCACTAATGTCTCCTGTCGGCGAACGATCATCGGAGGACGCTTTTCAGACGGCCCGTCGAGCAAAAGGAAGGAAGCGATGGGATCGTCCATATGGACGACTAATCGACTCCGAGGTCATTGTCGACTCACCACCCGCATGATGAGAGCGAAAAGAACGTCGTTGTCAGGCTCCTACGCACGGGTACTTCGACCGCCAATCGCGTGATGCGAAACGGTGTTGGCATGGTCTGAACGGTCGAAAACATTCCGCGGCCTCAATCGGTAGGAATAATACACGCCTAGCCTCAGTCGACTTTGAAGGCTTGTGGAAATAAGGACTTCGTATTGTAGTCATCATGCTAGAGGGTCTGCGGAGCAGGGAAAGTCATCAGAAGCTCAACGAGACCCAACGACGCATAAAATAGCTTCCTGCATACCTTTCCTTCCGATTACGCCCGGCCGTCAAAGAAGTCGGACCTGCACATGCCCATGGACTAAATATAGTCGACTATAGCCTGCGCGACGAACAACCAGGAACAACCGTTACAATGAACGTGAGTAAATATGTGCGGTACAAAGCCCGCTACGTCTTCGTTTGCGATGTGACCTTTCCTGAGCTCTTGCGCAGTCGACTCTTCGTACAAACTGACCAGCTCACGAATCTGTAGTTGATTGAGTTGCTGGCGAACGAGCGGCCCGTGGAGGTCAGCAATCCGGCAAATTTCCGCGAGGGCTGGACAACAGGCTCCGCTAAGTCCCTCAAGTTTGGTACCGACGAGCAAGGATGACAATGCCACAACGCTGCAGTTGTACTCAACTGTAGCAAGGGCGTGGACTAGTAGTAGTGAAAGCGACGACTCGGAGGTTATTATCACTGGGCCTAGATATCGGTAGGCGACCCTTGTGCAGAGCTACGCATGGTGTTAGAGAGATACTAGTAAATGTCGACGTAGCTGTGCTCATTGGCGAGACAATGTCGTTGATACGAAAGGAGCGTACCTCAGTTGAGATCCACGAGCGGTACTTGAGAACTTGGGACTTCATCGTCGTCGTACGGAGAAAGGAACCAGTCCGATGCTTTGATGCAAGCAATCCCTTGAGGCCACAACACGCTGTACTAGTGCCACCCAACTTGAGCCTGAAAGCCCCGGTTTATACTCTTGGGAAGCATTATTGCGTCGTGGAAAGACTATCCATGGGAAAGATCCACACGCGGCTTGCTTGTGGATGTACCACAGCGACGCGAATTGAGGGATGTCTTTGGTTGAAGTCCTGATATGCACACCTTCCAATGAACGCCAGATACCCGTCCTCACGACCAGGAAATGCATGGGGAAGTATGACTCGTTCCGTCCAAGAAAACGCTGTCTATCGAATACTACGTTGAGAAGACTGCGGAGAACGATACGGAGGCTGAGTGAGTAGCTGAAATTGGAACGACTCCTGACTAGCTTGGCTCCGTGGCATCTGCACAAGAACGAAAAACAAAGGTTCAGCAATGGTCACCAGGACTATGAACAAAGACGATGTCGACCTGCATACCTCCTCATGATCCTGCGATCCTACAACTTTATTCTCCTTCTCCTTGGTCGGACTAACCCTGTCCGACCCACTTCTGGATCGTGTACGATTCTGGTGACTCGTCCCGTTGACCTTTTTTGTGATGCTCGCCGTCGAGATACCCTCCGTAAGCTGCATTTCGATATCCATCTCCGAACTTCCCCCCACTTCGTTCTCCACCTCATCGACCTCATCTTCGCCCCCCAACTGTCCTGCGCTATTCGCTCCTGAACTAGCCACGTCATCCACACCGTCAACATCACCAACACGCGTACTCTCCCGACTGCCTCCTCCACCTGCCCCCTCGACGCCGACACCGACACCAATACCCGTGGTACCGATATCAATAGGCCCTCCGGCCCCCACCCTCGGCTCCGCAAGCTCAGCGTCAAACTGCATCGCCAACTCTCTAATCAAACTCGCCGCACTCTGCGCCTTCTTCCCATTTTCCGCCTTTTTCGCATTCTGCACTCTTTGCGTCTTCTTCCCGTCATTTGCGCTCGGCACCCTTTTGACGATATTAGCGCTCGACGCCCTGTTCAATCGTGGCATGCTCGTCGCGGTCGGAAATCTGGGCAGGGTCGTTGAGCTCTTCAATCCGGCCATGCTCATCGCGTCGTGTAATCTCGAAGATCTCGTCGAGGCCGAGAAGTTTTGGACTCTTGTCCCGTGTTGCGATTTTGCGGCCTTTCCTACCATGTCGGCTATGCTAGGAGATTGGGGTGGCGAGGCGATGGGAGGTGTGGGTGAGGATTGGGTGGCGAGGCTATGGAAGGAAGTTGAGCCCGATGTAGATCGGAAATGGACGTGCGGTTCTGGTCGTTTGCGTTTCAGGCTTGGAGGAGAGGGCGTTTCGGGTGCGGGGACAGTGGTGGGGACGGTATCGAGATTTAGTACGGGGACATGAGGAGATGCGGGTGCAGGATCTGAGCTGGAATAGCGTGCAGGAATGGAGGGAGCTGCGGGTTCGGCATCTGAGGTAGGACCTGGCGCACGGGCGGAAAGCGGATCGAAGTCGGGTCTGGAAGTGAGAACGGGTACGAGCGCGGGAAATGTGGTGGGGACGAGGCCGGCGTCGGACAAAGCGGCAGGTCGAGGGATGTTTTGTAATGTAGGGAAGAGCGAGAGAGAGGAGGGAGTTGATGATGTCTGTGTTTGAGCTTGTGTTTGGGTGTCGGCGTGGGACATCTGAAGAGAAATTGGGGGTGATGGGGAAGAAGGCTGAGGTAGTGTGGGTGTGCGAAGCGCCGGTTGAGATTGTCTTTGTATCGGTGGCTGACTGTCAAGATGTACTTGAGATGTGGCTGGTCTTTCTGAGGGAGCGACCGGTGATCCCGGTGGTGGCTGCACCTGCGGGTCGTGATCAAGCAGGTATAGTTGAGACTGAGACTGAGACTCAAGCGGTCGAGCAATGCTCGGAAGACTGTAAGAGCCTGTGATGTGGCGCATATGCAACCCTTATCAGCCAGCATTCCAATTCCCCCAGCAAGTCAAGAATCTCTGGAGAATACGCTAGTTACTGACTTGTGGATACAGACTCGCTGAGTGCGTCGTCCTTTTTGATAGCATCTTCGATCTCTTTGAGAGACTTCGGCTGTAGCGTCATGATGTGGCCATTAATGACATGGTCGTCGAGTTCATGGTGCGAGTTGAAAGTTTCGCGACACCAGTCCCATCGACAGAAGTGTACCGAGGACATGTCGGGACGCGTCGAGCGTCAATGAATATGTTCTGGCAGATGTAGCGATAGTACCTGTTATATGAATTTGTGACAACGTTTTCATAGTGAGCGACAGTTTCTTCAGTGGAGGATAAGTGGGTGACGCTTGCGCGTCGGAATATGCGAACAGGACGAAGCGTCTGCCTCAAGCGAGTAGAATTACCTGAGAATGATTCAACGAGATGGCGGGAGATGAACTCCTTATGAGAATTCTCAGCTAGTCGAGCACAAGGTACAGCCTGAGAGCCAAGACGAGGAGAGAAGCCTAATCCTAACTCGTTCAAAGTCGCCACTAAGTGCCCTGCAGCAATTTCAATAAATTCTGGTGATTTGGTGTGTGTGTATCCTCACAGGTTACCGAGAAAAAGGATAACAGAAATAGCGGTGGAAGTTATTTCTATAGCCAGCGGATAGCTTGGAAGAGGCTCTTGTGGCGTGGAGGTCTTGAGGCAAAGTGGGGACAAAGGGAACTTCAATGCGGAGGACGGAGCGAGTCGGAACGATAGCGGGTTATCTGTCCAGAATTAGCTAACTTCTATAAAATAAATAACGAACTTTACAAAAATCCCGCCAACATGGCGTCTCCCATCGTCGTCACAGGAACCGGGACCTGGCGCGAGGGCGAATCCCATAACAATTCGCAGCTCAGCGGCGTCAACTCGAACTCCGTAACAACCCTTCCAACAAAAACGTCTCAAAAACATATCCGGTCCCCCATGGTTCTTTATCCAACTGGTCATTTTGATTTTTTGACAGAAATACCCGATTCAGACGTTTATCATGGAAATAACGTGGAAGGCTATGCTATTTCCCGTAGGACTGACGTTATTCATTTCCCAGCCGGATTAATGTTGGCTGGCAGCCGACCGTTCTTGCTTGGACAACCTCACACACCACAGAGGCATAGCTTCTCTCTTCCCGCCGTTTGCGTGCGTTGCGTTTGGGCTCGTTCCAAGTAGGACGCTGGCACTGCTTGAGCACAGCGCTCAGATCATCGTATCTTTGATCGCCTGTGGCGCGAACCCTTCACTGCGCACCACCACCATCCTCGAGCTCCGCGATGTCACTTGTATGTTTTTCTTGCTCGAATTTGCTCTGGATGAATGTTGAAGTTCAATGCTGACGTGTGTTGGTTTCATACGCCTTCAGACTACGGCTGTGACAGCACCGGCGATAGTCACGAATGAAGTTACTACTACACCTACGACGGCCGCAACTTCTTCACCTACTATCAGCACGACTCCCAATCAAGGAAAAGCAAACAACACGAGACTCATCATCATCATTGTTTCGTGCGTCGGAGGATTTGCTGTCATCTTGCTTCTTGTCCTCGTGGTCGTGCCCCTCACACGCCGTCGCCTCGACCGCAAACGTCGAAAACTCGGTTCCGGAGACGCGGAAGAGGATAAGTTCGGGAATGGAACTGGACATCAGAGGATAAGGTCAGGTCCGGACTCGAGGATGCCGCTCCTGAATGAGGAAGACGTAGAGCGAGGACGAGACAGTAGAGAACGGGATGGTCAGCCAAACGGAGGACGGAATCCGGAAATTAGAATTGGGGAGAGAATCAAGTGGTTCGATGAGAACGATTTACAGCCGCGACACAACGGCAACGTCGAGTTCGTACCGACTCCAGGTACCGTCGTAGATGTCGATGCTCCCCCAGAGCCTTCACCATCTTCCTCTCGCTTCGGTGACATCACTTCCCCACGTCCCATACGCGCCCTCCGACCGCCACCCGTCCTCCGTCATGCCCGCACCCGCGTCGCCAACCCACCGATGACCTCTCTCCCCGAAAATCACACTACCTCTGACATCACCCCAGCGGTTGCTGCCCGGTCACCTTCACCCAGCACCACCACAAGCGGAGACACCCACGCGCACCTCACATCTCCCTCGACCTCATCTGACCGCTTCCCCGACGATCCACACCCCACATGGCTGCACATCCCCAACCTCCCACCCGCCCGACGTCTCATCTCCGCCTTCCAATCCTCCCTTTCCTCGATATCCTCCGGCTCATCCACCCGTTCCTCGCAAGCCGCATTGTCCACCTCTTCATCCCTATCCCGACCTCGAGACCGCGCTCAAACACATCAGAATTCATCAGACGGAACGATACTCCCGCCGATGAGACATTACCCCTCGTTCACCACGAATTCGAAAAGCCCGGCGACGAGTTTCTATTCGCTCGATTCTGGGTCTGTGGCAGATTCGGGAGTGGGGGTCGGACAGCCTCCGTCACGCGCGAGTAAGAGGGATACGTTTGGAAATAGTGCGAGTCGAGGAGGGGCTGCGGACGGGACGTTTGGGAGTCGGGAACGTGAGAGGGCTGCGTTGCATTTACAATCGCAATTGAACGGTACCGGTGGGACGACTAGTACCGGAAACGCTGGCGCCCGTTCGACTACCTCAGGCAGCGGAAGTCGTGGCAACTCCAATCCCAGTGGCAGTAAAAGCAACGGCGCGATGAGGATAACCGAGCTCGGGGAACTGCAGTCGTTGAAAACACCTTCGGCGAGGTTGAGATCGCAGATGCCGGGTGGAGAAGGACTTCACGTTACGGAGGTGAGCGAAGACGCAGGCTTCCTGCTGCCGCCATCGAGACAGGCGAGCTTCTTGAGTGGACCGGGGAGCGCGTCGAGTCTTGGGGTTGTCAGTGGAGGAGGCTCGAAGAGGGGCTATGCGAGTCGGAGTGCGACGAGTGGGGGGTCGGGCAGTGTTTATTCAGATGCGAGGTCGAATGGACTTTCAGACTCGTGATTACTATGCTTAGGTGTGGTAAGGCTGTGGACTTTTCTGTGCTCGATGCCCAGGTGGTGCACTTTGTTTCTCTTTCTTTTTCCAGCCGCATTTCTTGTGTATACCTATTGCTTCTTCGGTCTCTCATTACTTTCCGTTTTCTTCTGTGCTTCATCGATTGTAGCTGCTGACCTGACTACAGACACTCAGAGACATTTTCTCTTACCATGCCTCATTCCCCGCCCCTTATTCCTCATCCGACGTTCCGCGTTTCACCCTCCGCCCACTACCCCTGCTCCATATTTCCTCTCTTTTGCCCTCACTCTCATGCATACCTGAACGATCTTACAGTACTTTACTTCACGCCTCATACTTCATGATTTTTACGGACCCTGGACGATATCCTTTGGATTTGTACCTGTATACTCTACTTACTGGATTTCTGGAAAGAGCCTTGTGACGAACTTTACTCGGTTACGGTTGTGTATATCTTCTACTGTTCTTGTACTGCTGCTTCGTTTTACGCCATGATGCTCTGGAGCTGTTTTTCTTCTCTTTGCTTACAGATATCGCTAGTTTATGCAGTTCGTTTTGAGATATGTTTTTGGCGGGGCTGACAGTGACATGTCGTGCACCGGGAGAATTGGTGAGGGCCACATCTTTAGGAAGAATCCTACGCCACCGATTCGGAAGTAAAATCGTCGCTGACAGTGCTAGTGATCACTTACACTTCAACATAACGATCTTGTAAAGAGTGCCTTTATTTCCTTGGGCCAGCGTTCGTAGCTTTTACTACGATCAATTTGTAGCCCTATCGTATTCCGCTACTAATTGCGTCATTTGTTTCCCATCTCTCGCCACTCTTCCGCTCCCACCAACATGCTATCCGCCCCAGCCACCGTCAATATCACCCGAGTCGACCCCCTCCCTTTTCCACCATCCACTACTCGTCTGTAGTCGTCGTCGGTGAACAGACTAAATAATGAGCTCGCGACAGTCATCAAGCCTACAGACGGTCAACGAGCTCATCGCCGGCAGCGTCGGCGGTGCAGCTCAAGTTCTGGTCGGACAACCGCTGGATACGATAAAGACGAGGGCTCAGATTGCTCCCAGTGCGTGTCATTACGCATTATTTCTCTCCATGATACCCTTACTCGAGTTCTAATCCTTGAATGTGAAATGATGTGCGATGTGCGCGTACATAGAGGGCATGTTCGTGAGTGGTTTGTCGGTTCGGATTGTGGCGCCAGACAGACCAGATTGAACGTTCGTTTTTTGTGCGTATGGATATGGATATAGAAAGGACCAATGGACATTTGCGTGCAGACGATCCGTAAGGAGGGGTTCCTTGCATTGTACAAAGGTGCGTCCTACACATTCACTTCCTTCCACCACCTTTCCCCATACCGAACTCACTAAACGTTACACCCCTCCACGCCACAATGCGTCGACTTGGTGCTCGCCGCACATTTAGGAATGGCAAGCCCCCTTGTCGGCATCGCAGGCGTCAACTCCCTTCTGTTCGCGTCCTATGGAGCGTCCAAACGTATCATCTCACCGTTTCCTAATCTTTCGTTGAAGGAGATAGCGGCGGCGGGTGCGATGGCTGGAGCTGCGAATGCGATTTTGGCTAGTCCTGGTGTGTTTATCCTCTCCTCCTTCGTCCATCCCTTCAAACCAGTATCGCTTCAAGACCCCTCCATTTACCTTGTCGATATGCAATGATATTGATAGTTGTGTGTTGAATCGGTTGTGTGCAGTGGAGATGTTTAAGGTACGAATGCAGGGACAGTACGGCGCTGCTACGGATAAGAGGCTACGGGATATCATGAGGGAGATGTGGTCCGAGTTTGGATTTAGGAAGGGGGTAATGAGGGGTTATTGGGTACGTCTTCCTTTCCAACCACCTGGCTTCCACGACATGCAGAGAAGCCACTGATAATCAGTTGCCGATGTGTACATAGGTTACTGTGGCAAGAGAGATTCCGGCCTATGCTGGGTGAGTCTCTTTCTTTTGTCGGAAGGCCAAGACTTTCTTTAAAGCGACGAGTACGACAGCTAACATTATGGCTCAGGTTTTACACCGGTGCGACCACCTGTCCATGCCTGCTTCTGAGGCCCGCATTGAATGATGCAAACATCATATACAGCATTCGAGTTTACAAAACGAAAGTTCACGAAGACTTACGGTGCCCAACTACCTGTCTGGGCTCTGTTAACTAGCGGCGCCACCGGCGGCGTAGGTCCCCTCAAATACTCCCTTGTTCGTTTCTTTGTTCTGACATGCTTTGCTTATTAGATCGCGTATTGGCTAGCGTGTTACCCACTAGGTAACCCTTCGCCCAACCCCTTCCAATAATTTGTGTGGCTGAACATCACCGGTCCCACAGACGTCGTGAAATCCCGCGTTCAACTTCGTGCGACACCGCCGAGTGGCACGCCGGTGCAGTATATCGCACATGAGATTAGGACGATTGTTGCTGAGGCAGGTGTATCGGGATTGTTCAGGGGACTCACTCCGTCGTGTATGTCCTATCTTTCTGTCCTTCCGTCATAACTCACGTTTGGCTACTCGAGCTGACATTCTTTTTCTGAATTTGACTGTGGATAGTGATTCGAAGGTACGCTTCTTGACGTGGACGCTGACCTGGAAATTGAATTAAATTCGTTGTGCTGGTATTGCGCTTTTTTTGTCTAGTATACCCGCGGCAGCGAGCACGTTTGCTGCATATGAGATCACTAGAGGTATGTATTTTTTTAGACTTTATCGCTTAGTGTTCATCGATGTGCTGATAATGTCGTTTTGGCCAGAGTATTTGAAAGAATATACCGGTGTATGATTTTGAGTCATTGTCCTTTCGTATACGTAGAACCTTGCTCTATACATGGCCAGTGACTGGCCAGTGTCTTCCCACGTGCCTTTTCTTGTGTAGGCTCATGAAAGGCTCAGGTCAGGCCAACATGCCACCTCATGCAAGACCTGTCCAGTCCGAGGACCAGGCCTATGCAAGACCGCCCAAGTCCGGGTTGTCGTCATTCTTGGTCCTCAGACGCCTTGCAGAATTCCAGTGGCGCACCTTATAGATAGGACACTCGCCCTCGACCCGTCCCTTCCTCTCCCCTCGTATTTGCCAACCTACATTTTGTGCACCGCTGCACTATCCATCCCTTCGAGCATGACTGTCATGAATACTATTGAATGTGCGGGGTTTGAGTCGGGCGCGGACGTCGGCGAGGGATCGTGCCATAGGCCTGGCACTTTTACTTGTTCGAAGGTGCGTCCGAGGCTCGACTTTGAGCCTACGAATGAGGCTGTATGTAACCAACATAAACTCACTCACAAAACTGATCATATAGTGCAAGCTCATTAAGGTATAAAAATCGCCTCGGTCGTCAACTTAGATCATAACCTAACCGGCATAACGATCAGTATTGTTCTAAGGAACATCAAACTGCGCACTGGAAAGCCCACAAACGGCTCTGTAAAGACGGAATGCTGTCCCCGAGTTGGAAGCCGGCGTATATCGTCGAAAATAGACTGCCTTCATTTATGACGATGGGCGCGTCTGAGTCGCCAATGGGTACACCGTTTGGCGGATCGAAGCATGTGTGGGGGAATATACCTGCGATCGACTGTTTGAATCTGTCACGGAACGAGGGCTCATCCGCGGTGGATAAGGACATCAACCTTGCTTTTGTTGGTGAGTGAATTATACAATGCCTTGCGCAGTGGTACTCAAACAGTGCAGCATCGGGGGATATCCGCAATTTGGTGCAGACGGTGAACGGACTTCCAGCAGACTATCGTGGAGCGTGCAACATTCTTCTCAACGATCGCGATATCCATATTTTCACTCGGAACGTCCTCTTTCTCGCGATCCTTCTCGACGAGTATGAGTCCATAGAAGAAGCAGCCGAGATGGCCGTCGACTTGTCATACTCTATGCGGCTTTCGTCAACCACTGCCTCCCGCGTCCAAATGAAGATGCGCGTGCTGGGCATGATCTTGATTGGGTCAGTCATGGGTACACCAAAATCGACTTCTATCTCTATACGTGGCAAGTCTCGTCTGGTCATCCGCCACGATATGGACGAGTTCACATATCTTGCGAAACGGGGGGTGTTGGACGTTCCGATAGATGTTGATGACGCGGAGAGAGCCATGCATGAGTCTCTATTGCATCCTTCAAGACAGGACTATCGAGACTTGTACTACAGCGGTCTGAAGCCAGCTCATCGTCTGGCTGCTAGCACGTACCGTACGAACGGCATGACTCGTCCAATCGGGACGAACTTGAACGAATTTGATCAACCGAACAGGTGCGTGGAGTCCATGTTGTGTGTTGTTACATGTTTACGAGACGAACTCCCCCTCTATCGATCGTATAGGACACTCTTCTCTGCGGAAGGAGAGTGGTTGGCTCCGGACTCGGCAGATCCTCTCCATGGATGGAACATGAAAGCTATACTAGAGAGCGGCAAGAGGCATGGAACGACAGAAGGGGACTTATACGGAGCTCTCTTCTTCCATGCCAAGGAACAATTCACTTTATTCGCGCAACGTCTCGAGGCATCAAACATCACCATCACCGTATCCTGTGTCGACGCCATCGAATTGGCACTGATACTTCGCACCAATCCTTCCGCACATGGGTTTTCTTCTTTCCAAAAGCCCGTCATGTTCGACCGTATCGAGACCTCAAACATAGCGGACTGGAACTACGCCGGAATCCGGACGGTCTTGGGATCTTGGGGCCCGCTTTTGAACCGACAGAACCGGCACGCTGCGTTACTTACGCATTTCATGAATTGGGTGGCGATGCAGCCGGGAGGGAGTATCGCGGGCGGGTCGCCTTCGACATCTTGTAGGCTTGCGCGTGAGGAGAACAAAGCGATGGACGCCGCGACTAAGTTTTTTGTGGGTATTTTCCCTCTTTTGGTATTTGAGAAGTCCGATGGGCCATCATAATCTGCTTCGATTGTCGTTGACTGATTTTTCAAACTCATATATACTGGAATATGGGAACGCAATGGGAACGTAGGGGATCACGAAGGAATCTAAGATCGACAGTCGTCAGGAAGCGATGGTGCTGATGACCAAGATGACGAAGGAGCTGGACCTTTTTCACGATACTGGGCCTGCTTTCGAGAAGTATTTGCGTGCTAATGAGGCAGACGAGGTCGCTGCACGACACGGGCTCGTGCGGCGGAAGGATCATACGATTATTCACAAGGTTGGTGCTTTATATCATAACTTCGTATCCGACTTCCGAGTCTTTGATTGGATGGGATCTGACCATCGCATCACCCTATACTGCCGTGGTTCAATCTAGCGCACAGCTCTGTCTTTGGACAATCCCACACAGGCTGTCCCAAAGTTGTCCAAAAACGATCATTATTTAATAGGTAAGTAAATGACTATCTATTATTCTAGCAGATGTCAATGCTGTCGCGAGCTAAATCAATCATTCACCTTCAATGTCCTTTTTGCAGGTGGTCTGCAGCTTTTGACCTGGACTGATCGATTTGTCGAGTTCGGCGTGACAGACGTTGTACCGTGAGCTGAAGACGTCGAGGTAGGTACATGGTTGGGAAGATTCGGGTAATTGCAATAGACTAACTCTCACTTTGCCTCTCGACAGTAAGAACTGTCATGCCTGTTATACTGTATCATTTTTGCGAATTTTGATCAATCGACAGCATTGTGGAGAGAATGCTTTATCTGGCTCTGTTGAATTCTGAAGTCTCCGGCGGCATCAGCGGGGTCGACGCTGTGGCGTGTTGAAGTCCTTGCCGAGGGGCCACAAACTAACTGTGACAATTGCCCGAAAACAATATTTCAATTATATTGTACCGAAGGATCCGTACAGCGTCAACCAGGAGTAACAGCTACCCCAAAGAACTCATAACCCGATATGAATGAATGGAACCCATCGCAAAGGTGGAACCTTCAGACGCCGAAGCGTCTTTACAGCCATGTGAAGAGCCCTCGCAGCATCCCTCGGGTCAAATTCTGGTTTCTCAAGCAGAACTTGGTACGTCTTTTCCGCTACTATCGGCCCATCACTATCCGAAATACTCCACATCGTCCCAATAGCGCCCTTGAACCCGACGAAGAGCATCGCAGCCGCAAGGTGGATGACTTCCTCTGGCACGACCTTGTGCCCCGTCGCCGTCTCGCAAGCACTGAGAAAAACTAGATCCGCATTTGGTAGGTCCATCTCCATGAGCTGAGACAGTTTGAGGGTTTCGTGCTCGTTGAGCAGAAGATGGCTGTCAAGGGGATTGGTGTCGTCCTGCCGGCCGTGGAGGGCAAAATGAACGATGTTTGCGGCGGGAAGTCCGTTGACAACGGAAGCCAAAGTGGTATTGGAGTCCCCAATCTCAGTGAAAAGGATTTCAGGTCTTGACATCGCCGTTATTGATTCGATGGCCTTGGCTTCTACGGACGTCCCCGGGAGAGACGGGAAGCCCGGGGTGTGCGTCTGATACACAGCTAGGATGTTTGTGTGTTTCTTCGGTTCAGGTATTCGATGGGACATGTTGAATGCAGGGAGGTAAGAAGAGATGACGAAATCCTGGACGCTGATTTGTTCTGGACCCGAATAAATTCCTGCGGCATGGACGGGTATCTGCCAGAATGGTCCCGTCGGATACCACCACAGACGGGGTGGTGTGTCGCTCACCTGATACAATATTTGAGTACCAAGACTTGATATGTAAATACACAATAATTGTGCCGGATATATTTCGGTCTTACTCACCTTGAGATCCAGTGCATTCAGTATTGGTGCCACAATGATCCTCCAGACTTCGGCCAGAACAGCTTCAAATGAATCTTGGGTCCTCTTCCATGGCCGCGTCCCCCGCTGAATCTCCGAAGCCTGTCGCACCGATATCCCAGCTGCCTCCAACAGGGTACCCGTTCTATTAACCAGTGCATCCAGCTGCGAACGATTACACTGCGGCAGGGAGACATGCTCAACAATGCTGGTCTGCGAACGAACAATCAGCGCGTCACAACGCCTTGACGCAGCGTTCAGCACGACTACTGGGAAACTGTTTACGGGAACCGAATCGACGAAAGACTTCCACGCTCTTGTATCATTTGAGGTATCATAGCCTGTCCCGAGCCGGCTTTGTCTCACAGCGTCCGCGGCAAGTGCACGGATAACGACGAGGAGCCTATCCTCCCTGGCTGAACTATTGAGCCATGGTATGACTGGTTTGCTCCACAGCTCGATACTTGTGACTTTACTACTGCGCGGTGCCGATTCAATTTGTCTCTCCATCTCCGCCGCCTCTAGCATCATGTTCAATTTTTCCACTTCATTCGGTTTCGATCGCCTCAGGAGTTGCACATTGCGTCGCTGGAGTTCAACGAGTCGAGCCCATAGTACACCACGCCCTCTTCCAAGGATATACAGCGCGTCATCGAGAGCGCCTCTATCTAGGCAGAACTCTATCGCACTGGATATAACGGCGGGGCCTCCCAAAAGATCAATAGTGGTTGTAAGCCTTGCCATGTTGAACCCTTCCGAGAGCCTGGCTATGAGAAGATTGACTCGAGAAATGTACGCATCCAGGCGGCAACCATGGTCATGTTCTTCCGCTGCATCTGCCCACCGATCTGCGAGGTTGTACCGTTCCGTCAATGACTCCCTCTGATCTTCACTCCCCCTCTTGAATATCTGCATCGCGGTGTCGATGTCACTTTGATCATTCCAGAGTGCATAACGCACAAGGTATGCATCCGCGTAGACCCGAACCTCGTTCGCATACCCTGCAGGACAATTCTGAACTGCTAGTTCGCCGTATTTGATCGCCTGGTCTATGGTATGGCGAGGGGTACTTGGGTCCGTTTCTCCTAGCCATATGTATGCATTAGCAAGATCTGCCATGCTTTTATATGCATACGGGTGACATATCAACGTCTGCAATTCCACTGCTTTCTCAAAATTCTTTGGGATCTCCCTAAGGACCTCAAGAGCCTCGTCCTCGCGTTCGGCATCTATGTAGTTGCAATACAGCTTGAATAAATCATCTGCGAGCCCATAGTAATAAGCGAATAACCATGGGTGGTTCAGTGGTGCATGGTCCAGCCACTTCTTCTCCACGTCGTGGACAGCTCGTGGAAATTGTGGGGAAGGATCCCAGGGCTCTGATAACACCTTAGACCTACAGCGCCACGCCACCCGGCTGATATGATACATGCGTAAGCGTTGGTTTCCAGGGTCGTTCGGAATTGCACGCAACAAAATCCGACTGTTAACAAGAAATTGTTCGACGGTCCCAGTGGGGTCCACAAGACGTCGTAGGAAAAGGTCCGGGCCCAGATTTCTCATCTCCACCGGCATAGCTGTCCAGTCTTGTTCTGCACGACGGATATAATGAGACTGACGGAAAATACTTGTTAATGCATGTCTCCCGGCGTACTGCCCAACATGCTGAAATGCTGCCCAGCTCGAGTCATCAACAAGGGGTATGGCCTTGGAAGTCGCAATAATGGATGCCAACTCGCGATGCATATTCTGGTAGCATTCCCAGTCCTGCTCCCGCTCTTCGAGAGTAAATCGAACCAAAGTAGTAGTAGCCATCGCCGCAAGTGTCAACGCTCGTTCCGGATTGTCCTTGGGGACCATTGTGAGAGCCTGATGATCGAGAGCGATACATTCCTCCAGATCCTCGATGGGGAGAAACAGTTTTCCCTGAATAGCTTCAGAGAGGGCATTGAGAGCGAGCGCATGATCGAGTGGCTGCGCGAGGGAAGGCGCAATAGTGACCGCTTTTCGATATAAGGAAGTAGCTCGCTCCACACCGCTCATATCCCCGTCATAGTCCCATCTGACGAGAAGTGTCTGCGCCAACGTACAAAGATCCTCGAACATCTCTGCCTGATCGTTCAAACCAGTGGAAAGAGTCAGAGCCTGTTCAATGAGTGCGATGGACTCGTGCAAGTCGACGAGACGTGGAAAGTGTGTAAAGCGCAGAAAGAGCGCAGTGGATAGATCTCGAATGATAGTGATTTGAACGCGTAGTGGGGTGCCTGTATACATGTGGGTGGTAATGAGCCTGCGTGTATTGATGGAAGTCTGCAGATCGTCTAGAATACCAGTGAGGTCCCATCGAGCATGGAGGGCGCCCGCAATATCCAAGAGTATCAAGTTATTCGATAATGAAGTGGCCACGACTAATGCAGCGTGTAAAAATTCCAGACCTTCGTCAAGGTCAGAGATATTCCCTGATACAACTGCTCGAGAGCAGAGAGCCCTCCCAAGGAGATGCAGAGCATGCATATCCCTTTTGGAGTGGGGATCAGATGAGTTGGAGGTCCTTGAATTCATCGATAAATCACGGCATGTAGTGATGCAAACATCTAGATGGTGTGAGTTCCTACGAGTCGGGTCCTCGCACCACGATTGATAGGATTCTTTCGCTCTTGCGAGCGACGGTAAATTCACCAGAGGGGATATGTCGATCGGCCTCATATGTGTCTGCGATTTGTAGACTCTGACACCACGCAGTGACCAGAAACTTAGCGAATATGGTATACCAATAAGTATACAGAGACACACGCACCTCGTAAAGTCAGAAAGGAACGCTATGTTTGCTTAACGGCTTCTAATGGCTAAGAAAGCTTTCCAAAAGCCCGGGGGCGTGTAATAAAAGAACTACCGACCTGCAGGGACGACGAGGTGACTGAGGAGCAAAAACTGCGTCCAGCGGGCCACATCCCTATACCACAGGTCGGCATTCTCCGTCGCGGGACTCATCTCGGGGGCCGAGGCACGCACGTCGGGGACGGCGCAGAAAGATAAGATCAGATTGATCTGCTTCGCACGAATTGGACTTGTAAAAACAACCGTCTTAACTCGACCAAAAGCATAGGTGATCATATGCAGCCGACAGTCGAAGGAAGACGATGTGTGAGTCATATTGTTTGTACTTGTTGAATTCAAAAGCTACAGTACGGGCTTTGCAAATTCGGCCCGGCAGCATCTGTTCCTTCAACCTTGTCCTCTACAACTCCGGGTTGAAGTAACCGTTTCCTGTCTCCCTCTGCAATGTCCCGCTTCACTGACTATTTTTTCCGAGAAGCGCTCACGTCCGCTCTAGATCTAGCTTATGTTCGCTGGCGACGCAGTACTGGCTTGCGCAAGGCTTGCGTTGCCTTTGGCCCTGAAAGCTGTGACTTGCGAGTCATATATATCATTTCTTCCTCTTTCTCATTAATCTTTGTTACAATCAATCGACGAATCTTGTCTTCTAGTTCTTTCTTTGTGCTCTCGTTCCCCGCAAACATGACTGAGGCTTGTCGTTGGAGCATTTTGACCTGACAATGACTTAGACATGATCAACATCTCTTCGTGCAGTGGATGCTGCTCTTCCTATGTTTCCGACACGTCTCTAGATTAGAAGAAGTATCCTTTATATCCACGAATGCGGTCTGAAACTCGGTACGTATCTGCTCAGTCCAAGCCTTGTTCGATACTGACCAGTCTTCGAGAATAGACGACCACGCTTGATATTTTTTCCGGTACCGAATCTGTCAAAGCGTAAGCATGGAAAGTCGATAGCATTCTACTCATTGTCAAAATGGTCTCTCACCCTGCAGTGATGCGAAGGAAACGATGCATTTTCTCATCCGCCTCTCGTCAGAGCGGTTGAGGTACACCATTCCTCTACTTGACATTGTTCGCCCTTTCGAAGCCTTCCGTTCACCAGCATCGGCGGGGAAAAGGTCTAACTTTGTACCTGCGTTTCTCCTACTAGGGCCTTTTGGCCGTTCGTACGCATGCTACCTGGGTGCTATCGTTTCATGGTTTGCCGTCGAGTCAGCGAACAGCGGCTTCCATTCAACTCACGCTGATCATCTGTAGACAAGAAGCTCTTTCAGAATAATCAGTACGGCTGCCTTTCCGAGTCATGGTGGTTCCCAGCGATATCCCCATTCTCTTCTTTGCTTCAAGCCAGCCCTCTCCAATTGGTTTAGCGTAGCGGACTTCCATGTAGTGATGATCATGTTAGAAACCTGAAACTGATAATTTCTCGCGATTTCACTTCCAGCCTCTGTTTTTGTACAATATCCATATGTATGTATTTGACTGTCGTGCGTGCTCTCGTACAAATTCAGAGAAAATTGGGCTACACAGAAGTCCTGGATGGGGATATATATCAAATCACCCGAAAGGGATAAGCGAGGTTCTGTACCGGGGCTTATGGCCGATCCTATATCCGTTTGGGGAAGTCCGACTTGGTACTCAGCTCTTCCTGGACGCCCCCCATCTTTGCACTTGACCATCACCGTCCTCCCGCTCGTTTTCCGTTCGCCACATTCAATATTGCTTGCAGAACAAGCCATACTGTGTATATTTGCTCAATATTTGCCTTCATTGTCATCGATTTTGAGGGAGAAGTTCAGAACCTTCGTCGCTGCGGCTCCGGTCAGTACGTGGGACTTTGCGTGTCTATTCGTTGGCAGAAGTCGGTACGTCGTGTTGCCTTTTTCTCTTTTTGTCGTGTAGCTGATCTTTCTGGTCAATGTTGGTACGATCACTTTATTTCTTCGTAGGCGAGGAGCTTTCGCGAGAACGACTTTGGCTCGTTAGTAGACATCGAGGTGCGGCTGGATTGGGTTAGTGAGTCAGAGTTTTCAGTTCAATTTTCCCGGTGAGTACGGTTTCTTGTCTGTTTGTACGATAAGAGAAGAATTTGCGGACGTCTTCGAGGTTGCACGTCTCTGTGGGGTTGGGATGAGTGCTGCTGGCTACAGGGGTCGCGAGGGTGAATCGCAGTCGAGACGACGTGCATCATACACTTGGATCGCTCGAAAGTTGATGTGGCAATGTTCTAAATAAGTGGGGAGCGAAGAACTGAACTCGAACATTCTAGTTTCAGGCATGAATCCTCGCCGCAAAGAACGAAAGGAGTCCCTGGGACCCTACGATCGAGAGCAGCCTCAGCAACGTTACGCCTTCCCGACCCAATCCAGCCAACCTTATCCGAATCATACCACAAATGCCAACATGACTGGAAGTAGTCCCCACTCCGCCAACTTTCCTCGCGCCACCTCTCCGTCTGGGTTCACGGGACTATTCACCAAGCCAGCGAAATGGTTCTCCAGGTCTCGCGAACCTCATATCTCTACCTCGAGCAACAATACCGAGCCGCGGTCGAGCACGAGCTCTGTTCAGCCCCAGAGAAGACCCCTTATCTCGCAACCGACAGATCCTCGGCCCCTTTTGCCTTCGCTACAGAGCGAGCCATACATGCAGTCCCCCCGCGTAGGAAGCAGGTCAGTATGCTATCTGTTGATGTTGTTACTATTTCTCACTATTTTTAACTCGTCTTCCAGATCAGTTTTAGATCTCTCTCTGGCGAGAACCCATACGGCTATAGACCAACATCACCCGTACCCTTCACCATCATCTGGCTCTCCCAACCGAGTCAAGGGTAGTGCAGGTCTTGGAGATCTCCGTTCTCTTTCTCTCAAACCGTGGTCTAGGTCTGCAGACGAGCTTGGGACGTTTGGAAGTGTGTCCGCGCCAACTTCTCCTGCCTCACCCGAATTTCAAGATAGAGTCGACCGATATCGTGGAACGCCCGTATCTCCTCCCCGCAAGAACTCCGCACCTAATATCTCCTTGACGTCGACTCCGCTCTCGACTTCTCCCCCGTCGTCGTCCCCGGGTTCACTAAGTCCATTGGCTAACGCATCGTCACAGCATAGCCCTACTTCACTTCCAACTGGCGCTCCCCAAGTTCACGCTCGTTCGCACTCTTTCACGCCCAAGCTTCCCTCCAAACTCGCGCCTGTGAAAGGAAACTCACCCATTCCCATGCGGAAACAACTGAGCGGCTCTTCCGAGAAAGAGGGCGATGCTAAGGAGAGGGAGAGGAACCCTATGTTCGCAGGCCGTGGCGCTTTTCCGTTCACCTTCGGTACTGGAGGCGGTCGGTCACCTGGGGAGTCGACATTACTTCCTCCACCTACTATCGTCGAGCCAGGAGATAGCAGCGAGATGAACGAGAAGCGCTCGTCCCAGATCACGTACCAATCTGGCTTCGTCAACCGCTTCCCGGACTTCTCGCCACCTGCGCCACATCTCAGTACGTACGCCTTTGCGCCACAGAGCTTGGCGAAGGGTTGGAAACCGTTCAAATTGGTGTTGAGGGGGACGAAGCTGCATTTCTATAAGCCTCCGAGTGATAGGACAACTGCGGTGAAAGAGCTGTTCCCGACGGAAATTATCATGGTGGAGGAGGAGGCTGAGGGGACTGAGGATGTGTCGGCGACGGCCAGTCTGCTCGAGACCGAGAAGAAGTCGGATAGTGGGAGGTCGGTTTCCGGATCTGGGTCAGGGAGACGGAAAAGGGCGTTCTGGGGCAGGCGGAGGCACCCGGACTTGGTGGTGAATGCTGAGAATGAGGTTCAGAAGGGTTCTTTGGAGGCGCTCGTCCACGAAGCCGTGTTCGGAACCTTGTTCAGGCCGCAGGAGGGCTCGACAATAGGAGAGCGAAGGGCGGATTGGCAGGCATTCGCTTCCATGATTCTGTTCGGGATGCCGGAGCTCGTCGGTTCCGTAAAGTTCGAGCTGGAGCTGATCCGGTGTTGTACGTTCTTTATAAACGGGTCGGATGAGGCAACGAGGGAGGAGGAAAGGGAGAACGTGATATGGCTCGCGGGAGAATACCTCAGGTTTCACGGCAATCCAGCAGAACCGTCAGCTTGGGAGGATTTCCGAAAGGACACGATACCGACATTTTCGATGGCACAGTCTCAATCCGAATCACCTACGCTTACGGCCTCCTCTTCGACGTTTGCTATGTTCGCTCGGTCGCCAGCAGTCGGTATGCAGGACTCCTCGTCGCCCAATGCCCTGTCGCCCAATGTCAATACGTTCTCGCCGAGGCCGGGCGATGCTGTCAACACGGTCTCACTGACGGAGGCTCTAATAACCACTCAACCTTATCGGCCAGCACTGATATCGTCACCTACCCAGAGCTCCCTGGATTACCGACCCCGACCATCTACCTCGACGAACCTTACGACCTTAACAAACAAGGAGCTAGTGTGGAACGTGCTCGAGCGAGAAGGCTTCACGAAGGACGTCCTCATCCGGCTTCACCCAGCGCTCATCTCGAACAGTCTGCTCATCTTCAACCGTAGCCTGCTCTCCCTTCTTCCCGACAACCTCACGGCAGAGTTCGTCTTCTCATCGGATGGTTCATCTACGTCCAAGTCACCTGCCGTGGACGCCAGCGGCCCACATGGCGAGCCAAAAGCATCTCCGCCGCCACCACCATTTTTCGGTAGCGATGACCGACCGCACTGGTTGACGAAGCTGGTTCTCCTACATATCCTTGGCCCCGACACGAGTGCCTCATTTTCGACTCGCTCCCCTGAAGAATATGTACCCCAAACATCGCGGACGCATACCCGTGCGGAGGTCATATCCGCCTGGACCCGTGTTGCTGAACTGTCTCGCTCTGTAGGAGACGAATGCTCATGGCGTGCAATCCGAGCTGCTCTCTGCTCACGCCCTGTAGCCCGGCTTGACAAGGCTTGGAGGCGCGTTGACCCTGCTGCGTTGAATCTTGTCGAGCAGTGGGTAGTGCAAGGTGAGGGCCAGAGCACAGTCGACACGAGGGCGATTCCATGGGGAGGCGATACGAGGGAGCGAATTCGGACGGCATTGGAGAGAGCAAAGATAGGGGAAGAAGGGTCGACAGAGTGGGCTGTTAGTGGTCTGAAGGAGGCTAGAGATGTGTTCGAGGGTTTCAGGACTAATTTCTCGCTTTGTCCGAGGAAGGTGGACCCATCGGCTGAGGAGAAGGGAGAGGAGATCAGTACGCTCATACGCGGGTGGCAGGAGCTATATTCGACGGGTGGTGGGATTGGGAGTATCGCTTCTCAATTTCAACAGTAAGTTCGCACTCTGTCTATTTGAACGACCGTCCCTGTTCGGAAACGTGCTAACCATTCTTACAGTGTCGATCAGTTCATGTCGCTATCACTGGCTGCCGAGTCTCGACACAAAGGTCTCTACGAAACACAATTCTGGACTCGAGCTTCCTCATCAACGGGACCAACCCTTCAATATTTGGCCCCATTACTGTTCCCGGAACCTCTTCCCGCTATTTCGTTCATCAATCGCGGTGACGTCCTTCGGATCCGCGCAGACGGTGGCCCATCTCAAGCACAGCTCAATGTACAAGAACTCCAGTTTTTACGCAAAGCATCTGGCAATCCACGGCTCAGCCTGAGTTCGACACGCGGGAAGGAATCGTTCAGTTTCCCGGAGCTTGGGGGAACCGTGATCCCGCTGTTCAACGGCGAGCTCTTCTGCCTCGTCCAACCAGGTGGTAGCGAGAGGTCACTATCCCGACCCTCATCTCGTGCCCATTCGCGGCCGCCAGGTTCAAGACCACCCAGCGGTATCATCGAGAATGGTTTACCCTCGGAAAAGCCCATCGGTCGAGTACCGTCGATCCGGGTGAAGTCTGGGGCATCATCAGGGCTTGACCGGAAGGCCAGTCTGGCGCGTCGGAATTCGTTACCCACGCTCTCTCAGAGGAGCAGCGTCGTTATTCCGGAGCACCCACCGGATAGTGTGGTACGCGTCGTTATACAGGCCGGGACGATGGATCGTTTGGTGGAGGTTCTCGCGCATGGTTTACCTGGCGTCACGGTGTCAATCGCGGACGATAATGGAGAGATGCCGCTGAGGGAGGGCAAGCAGAGAGAGATCAGGATGGACAAGGCGGAGTTCTCATTGGTGTGGTGGAAGGTGTTCAGGAGTTTCATCACGCCAGCAAACTTCTTCGAGGTACAGTCAAATTTTTTTTCTTCGTCGTTCCCACACTAAACAAGTTTCAATCATCAGGCCCTTCAGAAACGGTTTACAAAAGCCAGGAGTAACTCTTTCGACCTCGCCCAAGCTGCTACGGTCCGTGAAGAGATTCTGGATGTTATTGGCGACTGGCTACAGAACGGCGGAGGTGCACAAGACATCTTGGACAATACAACACTTTACCATGCTGTCGAATCCTTCCTGACCGGCGCCACTGACCTCATCAAGCCACGAACGCCGTTGAAGGACGATGCCAACGCCACTCAAGCATACGTCAGCCTCAAGGAGACCCTCGCCACTTTGACTGCTCTCTTTCTATCTCAGACCATGCGGCCATCTGTACGCCCTCTGTTCTCGCAGGAGACTGGTCCTACCACAACGGAATCCCAAAACTTCGGCCCCGATGCTCCTGACCTCGACGCTATCCAACCAGAGGCGTTGGTCAACAACCTGGACGCTATGGCCGCAGCTGCTTTCCGCAATATCACCGAAGAGGTATGCCCATCAAATATATGTAGATTCATTCGAATTATCTACTGAATTTCATCACACAGGATTTGTTCATTGCTGCTGATCTCCTCGAAGTCCAGGCCGCCGATCGTCTCGGGTGGCTTACCGGGCGAGAAGGCAGTACTACCAGCGACGATGTCGACCTTCAGACGATATACTCGCATCTAACGGAGATCGAACCGTCTAGCCTCATCGCTGAGATCACACAAGAATCCCTGTTCCGGCTACTTCCTCCCGGCATTCGCAGCTGCCTTCGTGCTCACCATGTCCTCCGAAAATGGGTCATATCGAAACTCGTAGCCCCGCGCCTTGGCCTCCAGGCTCGACAATTCCGTATGGAGCTTATACTTCAGGCCATAGAGATATGCCGGAATAGGAGCACCTCTTCATCATCCACCCTGCCGCTCTCCGAACGCCCTTGTGTCCGCTCCTTCGTCGAAGGTGTGTTGACATCTGCAATTGTCAGCGTGGAGAGTCGAGCACATCAACGAGCGTGGTTAAACGTGGCGAACAATCGACGGGTCACATTTGATAGCGTCGTCTCGCTCTTATCGAACCCCGTCTGTCTACCATCACCGGTCAAACGCCCTCTGACGACGGACATCGGTTGGACCCTGGAACGCCTGCTTGAAATGATCAGTCTCCCTGATACTCTCCAGCCGCCTGTGCCAGAAGGGGAGCTACTTGTCAGCTTCGAGAAGCGGAGGTAGGTCTCCTTTTTTCGTGATTTGCCCAAGTCTTACTAATCCCTTGGCCAGACACATTTGCTACCTTATCACCAGCTTCCCTTCGTTCTACACGACGTTGCGGAATCCTGGGGGACGGGATGTCGACCTACGGGATTTCGAACGGCTCAGCAACATCGAGAAGGAAGTGCATGCTGTCCACTTGGATCTTCGCGCCATCAAGGACGACGCCTATCGCGAAGCAATTCAGATTCAACCAAACAAACGCGTCCAACGGCCGTTCCAGAAACTGATTTCTCTGCAACACGAGAAGAATAAGCGGGATCGGACCCTACGAGATCGCTTTACGAAGGAACGCAAGATGGAGCAGCTACGGAATGACAGACGGGACGATTACTTTTCCAAGGCTATTCCCTCACGGAGACCGTCTGCCGGAACCAAGCAGCATCGACCAAAGAAGAGTTCGGGTACCTTTTTCCAGCAGCTCATGCGTCCTATCTCCAGCGCATTTTCATTGGACAACGTTGATACGGGCACTGGGGAGAAGCGTACCGCCGCTGAGCTCGACTTCGTGCCTTCTGGGAAGCCAGCTTTGGTTCTCAGTGTGGCCGAAGCAAAGGTGACGCAGTACATGAACTACGAGCGCTCGTTCACGTTCCAGCTGGACACGGAGGATGGAGGCAACTACCTTCTCCAAACGGCGACCAGGGCGGAGATGCTGAAATGGATTCAGACCATTGACCGAGTCTCGAAGACTGCAGCGAAGCGGAGGCTGACGTACCTCGGGAACTCCCCAAAACCTCAGCTTTCGGACCACATTCAAGACCGGTCAAACGTTGGGGCAAGGGATCCAAACGCTGGTATGTTTTTATGTTTGAAATACGACGTCCTGTGTTCACATGTCCTACAGTTTTCGGTGTCGATCTCGAGTTCTTGCTGAAGCGGGAAGCGCCAGACGGCGTTGTGATCCCTGGCGCTCTCCCCTCAATGATCGAGAATTGCCTCGCCATCGTCGAACGCCGTGGTTTGAGTGAAGTCGGCATTTGTGAGTGCCTCAATCTACTTCACCCGTTTGTGTTACTGAACGTTTCTATGTATAGACCGCATAGCCGGTGCGAACTCAGAGGTTAAGGAGCTCAAAGACGCTCTCAACCGAGGTTCGTGCACACCCCTACTCCCATCACCTAAACAACCTAATATTTCTCCGACCTCACAGGTGAATGGCCGATCACCGAGTCAACAGATATCTATGCTGTTTGCGACCTCATCAAATCATGGTTCCGTGTACTACCCGAACCAGTCTTCCCACCTTACTCCTACCACGATGTCATTGAGGCCATGAGTACGCGCCTTTGCTCTTCGTTCATATGCCATCCCCTGACGCTTCGTATTCAGAAATCGAAGATTTCAATGCTCGGCTCGAGAGGATAAGGACAGTTGTCCAAGCCCTTCCGACACACAATTTCTATTTGCTAAAGCGTGTAGTCGAACACCTTGACAAGTGCGTTTTTCATTGTGCATAACATAGTCATACATTTACGAACCTTTGTGCAGAGTCACCGATTATGAGGAACACAATCAGATGACGTCGGACGCGTTAGCTATTGTGTTCAGCCCGAACCTTCTGCGCGCCCCTCATAACGACTTTGTCATGATTATGGCTAACATGCCATACACGAACAAGCTTGTGAAGGCACTAGTCACCCATGTGCGTCATTTTCCCGACGCCTTTATCCAGTCCATAGCATTGACCATCACTTTCAGTTCCATACCATATTTGACGAGGCAGACCCAGAGGCTGAAGTCGATCAGGAGGAAGACGAAGAAGACGACTTCGACGACCCTATACCCGAGGAGGAAGAGGAGCTCGAAACAGAATTCATGCCCTCTCCGTCCACCAGTTACCCCGATACTCAAAATTCAGTTACCCCGCCTAATGCATAACATGCCACCTTCGCTGTAGTCATTTTTTCTTCGTCTCGGTTGCACGGACTGCTCCGTTCAAACATCTCAGGTTCCTTGTACTGCACTCCTTATTTCTGTATAAGACTTAACTCTCATCGGACATTGACTGGCTTTTTGTTACGTAGTAGATACCTCGACGTTGTCCTTTTCTACATCTGCATGTCAACGGACTCTCCACATTATAATCTGCATTATTGGTATTTTTGCGGCGTGGACTCAATGCACTGTCCTCGCAAATTTTCTCACCCGCCTGCTTCTCTCCTATCAATACACTGATTGGATGATATGCTTCTACCGCCATGCATGTCTAAGGCTGATCACGCCAGATTCATGTTGGACGGCTTATGAGTGCTTCGTGAGTACGTCTATTACTCACATTCCCTACCGTCCAGTGCTTACCCCTATACGGACATACAGGTCCTGGACCTGCGCGGAGAAAGGGCCGTATAATTCACATGGACAAGGAGGCATCAGGGCTCGAATCATCCCAAAGGGAATTTAAACTTCCCACGTTTGATCTGTTCACAGTTCTAGCTATAAAGACTTTGAAGGGGCTTTGCTGTCCCCGCTGCGTTCTCAATGGACTTGTCTTCGCCTGTCGTGCTGCTTCTGGGAGGCATCGTTTTAAGTTTCGCCGTATGGCGAATCTTGTCCATTGGGCGAAGAGAGAAAGCTCTCCCTCCTGGACCTGCGACGACCCATTTGCTGGGAAACCTACATCAGTTCCCCACGGAATATGCATATCGCCAGTTAGTGCCCTTCCTTGATCGTTGTTTATCCCTCCTTCTATTGATCTTACTTGGTTGATTTACGTCTGGAGATTGACCTCCTGGGCGAAGGAGTATGGTGGAATATACTCAGTGAGCGCTCTATCCACTCACAATATCGATTACGTTCGAAAAGAAATCTTGAAGCTTAAGATGGGTCCGGGAAATCTCATGGTTGTCACTGATGTCCAAATTATGCGCGACCTCATCGATAACAAAAGCTACTCGTCCGCTGATCGAGAACCAAGTTATCCCATCAGCATCGTTACGGACGGGAAGAACAGTATATTTGGACCGTACAGTGAAGTCTGTCGCTTCGTCTTCACTTTCATGCGCCTGACAGTTTGCTCGCAATCCTATAGCGCGTGAATGGCGCAAGAGTCGCCAACAGCAACACGATATGCTCAGCAAAGAAGCTTGCGAGCGACATTTACTGATTCAAACGGCTGAAGCAACTCAGCTACTTTGGGATATCCTACACGATCCAGAGGTGTGATTCTTCAGATGATCTTCGTGGACCCTCGCAAAGCTCACTACGGGACATCGGTTCGCTCGATAGAATTTCGCAAATCACGGGTTCCGATACGCCAACTCTCTTATTACGTCCGTGTTCTGTGGCATCCGCTCTCCACACCATAGTAGTTTGTTTTCGGCCACATTTCACAAGATGATAGGGGAGTGGGCGCGATTCCTCGAGCCAGGACACAACCCTCCTGTTGATCTGATTCCTTTGCTGAAGTACGTGCCTGCGAGATGGGCGAGGTGGAAGCGTATGGCAGCGAGTTTGCGAAGGACACAACGTACCATGTACGGTACGCTGATCGAACGGTGTGAAGCTCATATTTTGGAAAACGATCGCAAAGGAGCGGCATTGGAGAAGATAATAGACGAGCGTGAAGAACGAGGAATTGACCGGGCATTGTTGCGGTCAGTAATACATACATCTAATCTATCGAGTTTTGACAAGCTGATCAAGTTGAATAGCGGCATCGTCGGGTCCATCCTCGAAGGTGGTTCCGATACGACTGCTCTCTTTACACGAAGCTGCATTCTAATGCTAGTGGCACATCCTGAGGCACAGGAGCGGGCACATCAAGAGATTGAATCCGTAGTCGGCCATGATCGCCTCCCTACACGCGATGATTGGGACAGTCTGCCGTACTGTCAAGCTCTTGTCAAAGAGGTTAGTCGCCTATTATACCTTCATTTGATTGTGAGTCTATCTGAGCCAGTCTCCAAAGGTCTTGCGTTTCCGCCCTCCAGTGCCGTTAGGTGTGCCAAGGAGCATGAGACAGGCCGAGACCTGCAACGGATTCTTGATTCCACGGGGCTCTACCGTCATTATCAATCAGTGTAGTGCTCTATTTCTCTATTCACGGCTTAGTCGAGCTGAGCGTCATCGCATGTAGATGGCATACTACACGATCCCGAGGCTTATGATGAACCAGACAAGTTCAAACCAGAACGTTTCCTGTCCTCTCCAGTAGGGGTTAAACCTGGCGTGGATGAGGCCGGACGAGAAGATTTGAACTTCGGTGGAGGGAGAGTGAGTCCTATCCATGGCCCTTCTCTTTAGAATGTTCGTTGATTTTCTATTACAGCGCGTTTGTCCCGGAAAAATCCTGGCCAAAAACTCGCTCGTATGTAGTATTAGCATTGCATGGTCGGTGTTAGGATACTACTGATTGCTATATTCCGGTGTTCAGGCCATTAATACTATGAATTTTGTGTGGGCATTCAAGTTCACTAATGCAATAGATAGTCAGTCGATGCGACCAATCCCAGTGGATATCACTAACTACTCGAAGGTAGATCTATTTCGTGAACTCACGCCCCTACGAGGAAGGCTTACGTTTCTTTATAGGGTCTCACCACCGCACCTAATCCATTCAGATGTCAGATTATCCCGCGAAGCCCCGCACATATTACGCTGATTGAGAAGGGCATGGAGCAGGCGAAGGAGATCTTCAAAGACTTCGAAGTTCTGGACAAGTTGTATGAACCGGAGGACTAGACTCCTTCAGATATAGCTCAAGGCGATAGTATACTGGGAGAATGATACAATCGACATATTTCAACAGCATATTTGCCCGTGATTCGAAGACACGGCAATGCCTTTACGGTTTCTATGGGACAAGCACCGGGGTCTAGCCATCCGAGCAATAAGTGCTTCTCGTGGCGTATTCACTCGTATGAGCATTCTCAGTTCTTATACTACATCGCCTTCTTTCGTTATCTCCTAGCGGCCTTTTCTTCCTACGCCGTGTTTATTATGAGTGTAACAAGTAACTTGGTCAAAGTCTCGTGCGTGAATTCTTCAATCACGCGGCTCCACAACATAGCGCTGACAGGATCGGTATAGCAATTCGCCTCCTGACAGGGAGAACAACCGTCATTTCTCATCAAACTCAAAGTGATCGTTTGACGCCTGTTGGACTCCTGACGGCTCCATGGGAGGGAGCCCCCTGCGGCCCAACCTCTTTGCTACTCCTCTAGTAGGCACAACTACAACGACCCTTCAAACACCTCATTATTTTCACTATATGTTGTCGATGGACCTCCCTTCACCTCTGATGATACTTGCGGGTCTAGTATTTAGTATCGCTATCTGGCGAGTATCGTCAGTCGGACGAAGAGCGGAAGCACTTCCCCCTGGACCTCCAACCTCCCCATTGCTGGGAAACTTGCACCAGTTCCCCAAGGAATATGCGTATCGCCAGTAAATATTTACCCTTGGTGTATGGTTCTTCCACCTTCCACCTCACATCAGGGGACACTCTGTAGATTAACTACGTGGGCGAAAGAGTATGGGGGTTTATACTCGGTGAGAGTTATTTTTTTAACCCGGTACGCCCATACTCAACTTAGGCCTGCGCGCAGCTGAAGATGGGCCCAAAGAATATCATGGTCATCACCAACGCTCAAATTATGCGCGAACTCATCGACATGAAGAGCTCCTCGTCCGCTGACCGAGAGCCAAGCTACCTCATTGACATCGTCACTGATAGGAAAAACAGCAGTTATGGTCCATATTGTAAGTTATGCGGATATTGTTTTCGAGGGTCACCGACAGTATTACATGCCTATAGCACGGGAATGGCGCAAGGATCGTCAACGGCAACATGATATACTCAACAAAGAAGCCTGCGAGCGACATTGGGTGATCCAACGAGCCGAAGCCGTTCAGCTGCTTTGGGATCTCCTACACGAGCCGGAGGTCTGGACCTTCCCTCACTATCCTTCCCACATATTAATCAGGTTGGCTTGACAGGAGTTCGCAAATCATGCATTCAGATATTCCAACTCCCTAATTACATCCGTGTTCTGTGGCGTCCGTTCCCCACATTACAGTAGCTTGTTTTCGGCAGAACTTCACAAGATGCTCGACGAATGGGCGCGATACCTCGAGCCTGGCTTCAATCCGCCTGTTGATCTCCTCCCTTTGCTGAAGTATGTTCCGGCAAGATGGGCCAGATGGAAGCGAATGGCCGCGAGCTTGCGCAAGGCTCAGCGCGCACTGTACGGTACCCTGGTCGAACGGTGTAAAGCCCATATCTCGGAGGATAATCGCAAAGGAGTTGAACTTGAGAAGTTAATAGATGAGGGCGCATAATCGCAAAGGAGTTGAACTTGAGAAGTTAATAGATGAGGGCGCATGGGTTGACCAAGCTTCTTTTCGGTGAGTAAGATGCTTATTGTCCTTCAGGTGAGATGGGAGATGGGCTAATTGGGAGGCAGCGGCTTTGTGGGCTCCGTTATTGAGGGTGCCTCTGAGACGACTTCTCTCTCACTGCAAAGTTGCATTCTCATGCTTGTAGCTTATCCTGAAGCACAAGAACGGGCTTATCAGGAGATAGAATCTGTCGTAGGCCACGAGCGCCTGCCTATGCGTGATGACTGGGAAAGACTTCCGTACTGCCAGGCCTTCATTAAAGAGGTCGGTCCTCTAGTAAATTTTGTTGATTCATCACCCACCTGAGTCGTTTGAGGAAGGTCATGCGGTTTCGTCCCCTGGTCCCGTTGGGTATACCGAGGTACATGAGACAGGATGAGTCGTGTAATGGGGTTTTGATCCCAAAGGGTTCGACAATCATCATCAACCAATGTAGGAGACTTCCTTTACTTATCTCTCAATAATACTGAAATATATCGAGTGCAGATGGTATACTACACGATCCCGAGGCTTATGACGTACCAGAAAAGTTCAAACCGGAACGCTTTCTTCTCTCTTCAGTGGGCGTCAAACCTGGCGTAGATGAGACTGGGCGAGAAGACTTGCAATTTGGCGGAGGGAGAGTAAGTCATGTCTTGCACTTCCTTGTTCGTGGTACTCACGTTCTTTCTACGAAAGCGTGTTTGTCCTGGAAAGATCTTGGCTAAGAATTCGCTCGTCCGTAGAGTCGTTTCTGCGCCGTTCACATCAGAGGGGCGTTGCTTGATCTGATAGCCTTACTTTCAGGCTATCAACGTTATGAACCTCGTGTGGGCCTTCAAGTGGACCAATGCGATAGATAATGAAACGAAAAATCCCATCCCAGTGGATATTGACAACTATTCTAAGGTCAATTTACTTTTATATCTCATGCGGTTCTATGAACACAATAAAGCTGATTTCTCATCTATAGGGCATCTCCACCGCGCCGAATCCTTTCAAGTGTCAGATTACTCCGCGAAGCTCCATGCACATTGCGCTCATTGAAAAGGAGATGGAACATGCGAAAGAGATCTTCAAAGGATTCGAGGTTTTGGATAAACTGTGTGAGCCAGAGGAGTGAACCTCTCCACGCCTCGCACGAAACATTATACACTTGCAGGCCGGGAGAGATTCGATGTTCTTCCTTCGGAAGCTTGTCTCTTTTACGCAGGCCACTGACTTACGCATAATGAAGTGTAACATAGTTGACATTTTCAGACCTCTCCGAACTTGAGGTGGTAGAAAACTGTTTGTACAATCATATCGTTTTGTCTGGACGTTCTCAGTTTACATGTCACGTCGTTCTTCTTCGTCGAGTCACACGTCTGCCTTCATTGCACTGCAGTGAGTGCTATCATGCTATACTCCACCGAATCTCCCAACGGCAAAAGGTTGTCCTTCACATATGCGACGACATCCTGACGACTGGACATTAGTCTGCTGGACCAGTGGAGTTGATACTGGTGACGCGGCTTACCTGTAGCAGGTCGCTTGATGCCCCTCGATCGATTGGACCATCCCGACCTCCGTTCAGCTCTATCAGCCGCTTTCCATGAGTTTCTCCGTCTCCGGTAGGCACAGCAGGAGCTTGCACGAAGGCAGTATAGGCATGGGGCGGATGGTCGAAGCCCGGGTTGACTGACTGCCCAGCTACCGCAGCCTGAGCATGGGCCTCCGCGAAGGCCGTATTGGCTTCAAGAAGACGTATACGCTCTTCACCCGAGACGCCTGGAACATACAATGCGCAGTTTCAGCAGGTGAGAACTACCATAGCACAACTACAAGTGGACTGACCTTTGCATTTGGTAGCAAACTCGGCGAAGGGGGAATCTGGCTTCAAGGTTGCACCGCACTATAAGACCGAAAAAAATCGGTTGGCCTACCAGTGCCACACGAGGATAATGAACAACTCACGTTTGCTAAAGCATGGATGACGGCCATAGTACCGCACGCATTACCAATCTGTAGCGAAGCATGCGACGTAAGTATCCTCAGACAACGAACGGAGAGCACAGAGCGTGGCTGCGCACCGTCTGCTTGACCCACACGACGTTGGGGTCGATTGGCGGCTGCCCTTCAGCTTTGATCTTCTCATCCTCTCTAATAAGATATTCCTTCCACGGTCCGGGCCACGGAAAGAGGAGAACTATGGCCTTGACTGGCTGGGGCACCATCGCGAGCAGCTAGAGGAAAAGGTCATGTTCGGGTTATGAAAGTGATACTGGCTCGATTATATCGTAGATGTACTTCTTGGTCGAGACCATAGACATCGCAGAACTGCGAATCAAACGGGTCAAGCCCAACTTTGTTCGCCCACTGGCATAAGAGTCAGTGCCTATCGGGTGAAGCAAACCACGTCGAGCAACGAACGAAGTTCATGACCTGGAAAAGTGGGTTGACGGAGAAACCTGTGAACTTGTAAATTCTGGGAGCCTCGGGATAGAGGTGCATACCTCTGGGTTACTCTCCAAAGCGATCCATTTCATTCCTGGCATCTTTGCTTGAAATGTATTCGTTGCACGCTCAGAAGGAGAAACAGAGGCTGCTGTGATGTATTTAAAGGAACTTCACTAACAAAGCAGATGCTTTAACCAGAATTTCGATGAGAGGACGAGTCAGAGCAGATAAGTATGTCTCCTGGACGCGTAAGCTGCGTTACAAAGTTTCACAGCGGTGACAACTGGTATGTCACTGCCACTGGAATCCAGTTGGAATCCACCTGGAACTCTTGGGGCCTGTGGGCTCGGTACACGTAGCTCGCTCGGGCTCGGCAACTCCTGTTTTGGATGTGTGAGGCTATATTATCACCCTTTAATCTGAGTCTGTTGGAAGCAAAGAGTTGTTAAGGAAAGCCGTCACTAACAAAACATGAACAAAACATCGCATTTTCGGTCGGAGTGCGGAGTTTGAGTTGTCCGGCATTGTCCGACAGTACTAACGAACTTTGTGAGTCTGACTCGAACTCATCTCCTGAAGTACTTTCTGAAAGGGAGCACCACGTATAGTTCCACGCACATCTTCTCTCGTGTTTGAGCTTAGGAATCTGATTCCTGAAATTCTGTCTGCTAGATGGTCCCATTCATTCCTCCAGAGTTGGTGATACCCATTGTCGAAGAGATGTATCATCTACCCGATGGAACTGCAGATATACATACCCTCTCCGCCTGTTCCTTGGTCTGCCAGAGCTGGAGAGTGCACTCACAAAGACTTCTTCTATCTCGTGCCACCATGCGGATCTGTGGTCCTCCGGATGATGGGCAGAGATCACTTACTCTACACCAATGCCTCTCAACCGGGAGCTTAGGGTCGTATATACGGGCGTTGGACCTATCTATCACTACCAGACGTGGAAGCCTAGGTTCCTTTGCACCACAAGCCACATCCGCCCTCTCACCCGACGAATTCGTATCAGCGGTTGAATTCTGTCCACACCTTTATCACCTGTCGCTCAATATCAACGCGATGCATTCGTTCGATGCGGATGCCGTCGAACGTCTGAGCTCTCTGTCTCTCACCATACGGGCCCTCGATGTCTCATTCGGCAGCGTCACTTCGCCCGTAGTTTATCAGCTTCTCGCGATATGGCCTTCCATTCAAAGTCTGCGTCTCCGAACAGAGATGATTGCGCCCCTCCCATCCGTACGCCCAGACTTCTCGCTGTACGAGTTGTCGCTTCATAGATCCGTCCGTCGCGGGGTACTGGAATGGCTGATACCTCCTCCGGATGCGCCCTATCCCAGTCATAGAACGCCACTGCGTATTCTCGATTTCTGGGATACGCCGAACGAGGATAGCCGCGACATTATCTTCGCACATGCTACCAACGTCCGCTCGCTACGTCTCACCTATCCACCGCCTGCCGGCTTCATGGATTCCTTCAACGGTATACAGGAATTCGTTTTGCGCACTACACCGGATCTTCTTCCCCTTCGGCCACTGCCCTCGTCGATCGAGCATCTCCACTTCCACAATTTCTCCTCGCCGAGCTTTGCACACTCCCTTGTCCATACTACCTCATGCATCAGGAGCCTTCCGAATGTCACCCTCGTGACTGTTAATAAACCTATCGCTGAGCGAGAGGACTTCGGAAACTTAGTCAGGGTTTGTGAGGGCAGAGGTATCGAGATACGGGTGGATCCGAAATTTTATTATTTGGTGAAGATAGATCAGTCTGTATTCGTGTTTTATTCACATACTGACCAGTGTTGATCGACCCCTAATCATACAGTATGAGTATCCGGTGCCGGTTGAGAGGTTTCCTCGACTGAGGACAATTGAGAACTTGTACAAGATGAACTGACTTCACGCCCGAGGCTCGATAGTAAGTCTTTTGTTAACATGCTACGGCACCCCGCTAATTACAAACTAGGCATCTATCGGGTCGCTCGGTTTGGGCCTCACGACATTGACGACATTCTGTATATCTATCTATGCATCGTAGGGGCATCATTGGTCACTGGTGTTGTGCTCTTGAACAACGACTATCTTTGACGTGCAATGCATCTGCTGATGGACGATGTTTGTAGGATGGTTTATTTGTGCTATATCGCACTGTTCCCACCAGTGGCTTGACTGCACCGTGGTGTTTGTTGTGGTGTTTGTTGTACTTTGGTTGTGCTGTTTCACTGATGATTTTCCCCTTTATGTCGTCACGGTTTCTATATATATGGGCCGATCCACCCTTCTGATTGTATATAAATTCGAACTGTAGTTAAACACTAGCCTTCTGGAAGGAACTATACTTGCCCGCTGCCGGATTGGCCCCCAAAGACCCTTAGCGCAGACTCGCCACTGTGGCACCTCACTAACGTAAATTAGTTTAAAACTCCGACAACGCGTCGCGTCGCGTCTCGTGTATGCGATCCTCCCTTTCGTCTGCTCTCAAGAAGAGTCGATTTACGCCAATGGCTCGCACCACAGTAAGCTGGTCACTTACTCTCTACCATTGATACTTAGTGTCGCTGATTCTGTTTTGTTTTCTAACGCCTAGCAAGTAGCCCGTAAGTCCACTGGAGGCAAGTCACTTCGTTCAGACGACATCGACTCGGAATGCTCCCCCCTCATGCTGACTACTGTTGTCCTATCCCCCTTTCTATCCTGATATTTCACAATTGGGGTCTATTAACACAGGGCGTGCTCCACGAAAAGTGGTTGCGAGTAATACCAATGCATCAAGTGCGCATGGTGACGCTCAAGGTGCGTCCTCTTCATACATCAACACTGCCCAAATACTGTATGGAGCGAAAGCTGATAAATCGAGCCCGGCGATACCAGAAATACCTGATGGTTTCATCATGGAGATGGAAGCCATGTGCCGAAAGGAATCAACAGTGAATGGTGCAGAGGAGGACGGCATGGGTGAACCCCTCGAACAACCAGTAAAGGTATTATTTCTGTTGGTCCCATATATACCTGTTCACTGCTGTATCGTGCTGACTGTGTCGTGGTATTTCATAGGTTGAGCTTATGGATGTGCTTGACTCCTCCTTCACGGTTGACGGAACGTTCGCATCATGCGTCCCTTATGAAGAGGCACCAAACCCAGTAATCTCAGTCGCAGGGTTCGGTACCCTCGGTCTGCCTCTGAGCACTCCTGAGGCTCGTAGACTTCGTGAAGTCCTCGATCGGGCACCGTTCGGAAAGGGAGAGCGCACGGTTGTGGACATCGAAGTACGGGATACTTGGGAGCTAAATCCCGAGAAGATGAATATTCTGAACCCGAGATGGGATGCGTGGATGAAAAGGGATGTTGTTCCGAAAGTCTGCTCAGAATTAGGGGTGAACAGGGGCAATATCACGACCGCGGAACTATATAAGATGCTCCTCTACGAGACAGGCTCACAGTCAGTATCTTTGCAAGTCAGTTCGTGTGCTTCAGCTGACGGTATCCCAAACCGATCATCCATACAGCTTTCTACCACATCAGGAGTATGCTAACGCCACTTCTACTACTCTTTCGATAAGCGGACCGTTACTCACTTTACATTTGCTTTTTTTAGCACGGAAAAATCTCCCGGAATGTTCGCCACCATTGTCATCGTCTTGCCATCCGAGTTTTCCGGGGGTGAAGTTCACGTCTCCCATGGCAAACAGCAAAAGGTTTTCGATTTCTCCGACGAAAATCTGCTCTCGACCACCGTACTTTCTTGGTACACAGATGTCGTCCACGAGGTCAAACCAATCACGTCCGGATTTAGGCTAGCACTCTCGTACAACCTCATTCATACGCCGCAGGCACCTCATGGCAAGGCTTCTGCATCGCTTCCCCCACGACTGCCCCATCTCGATGAACCCATGCAAAGACTTGAACGCGTTCTGAGAGGCTGGAAGTACGCTGACCGTCACGGGGTTGAACGTGCTACCGGGCAGAGACCACCACAGAAACTTGCATACCTTCTCGAGCACGAGTACTCACATGCCAATCTCTCCTTCGACGAACTCAAGGGCCGAGATGCCAATCGTATGCTCTCCCTACGGGACGTGTGCGCTCGTGTAGGCTTCCAACTTGGTTTAGGAAGCCTAGACTACACGGAGACGGGCTACGCAGTCGACGACGGCGGCAGACGCGATGACGGGTGGGATGATGATGAGGACGACGAGGACGACGAGGACGTAGCGATGTGTGAGGTGGAAGAGCGATCGTGCGTGGTCCAGCTGATATCGGGACCAAATGGCGAGTGTTGGAGACGTGAAGAAGAGTTAGACATGAAGGAGGTTATGGTCGCGAACGGATACTGGGACAAAGCCGGACCGGACGATCAAGAATACGAAGGATATCAAGGCAACGTAAGACACCCCACCTCTGTTCATCTTATTGGAATGGCCTAACCCGTTCCTCGTCATTAGGGAGCTGGTTCACTAGAGTACTGTAAGCTTTGTGCAGTCTCTGCGTATGTCTGGACGCTAAGCCTTGCTACGGTTTAGTTTATCATCGCACAGTCGTCCTCATGTGGCCAGACTCTCAAAATGCGTCAGTCATTACAGCACTTGGTGGGCGCGATGCTGCTATCGACCTTCTGCGAGCCTCGACGTCGGATGAGCCAACAAGCAAAGAGCTCAACCTTGTCGACGTGGCCGCCACAGCTGGTACAGAGGAGGTGGCACGAATGATTGCTGACACTGCCTTACGGTGGAAGAACGCTCAGACATGGTTGAAAGCCGTGATCTGTTGTCGTGCTGGGAGCAATATCATGGCTCTCGGGATGCCTAGGCTCGTTAAGGCATTCGAGACGTTTCCGTGGCCCTCTATGGCGCCTGTGTAAGTGCTCCAATGCGTGACACTTATTTCCCTTGCTCACCGCATCATCGATCTATTCAGCCTTAAAAACGTGCTATCGAATACGACTAGCACTTGTCAGAGGCTCCAACTCGTCGACGCTCTCCAAGCTCAGCCAAGGAGTACGCCGTCAACGCAACCGTTCCCAAGTCCACCGGAAGAGTGGTTTGATAGCAAACGGGCACAAATCCTGGGCTCGTTGAGAAAGGTAGAAGATAACGATATAACGTCTGTTGTCTCTGCCACATCAGGGATTGGGGGACTAGCGACACTTGCAGAGACGTGAGTCACGACGGTCATTCTTGACGATATCTGTGTGTTTGACAAACTTTTTACTGACTCCTCTACGTCTGTCGTGGGCGATATACGAGTAGCGTCCTTCCCCAGCTCATCGCACTCAACTTGAACTCGGTCTGGTGGCTCAATTTTGTCAAGCATTTGCGCGAGCGCGAGCAGAGCCTCGGAGCTGAGCCATTCGAAGGATGGCCAAAACCTGTCTTCGAAGCTGCAAAGCCGGTGTAAGCCCTTTCACTTAGTACGTGTAAGTGATAGTGGGGTCTCCATTTTGACTTTTACTGTTTATGCAGATTTGAGAAGGCACTTGTAGCAATGGACTCAATCACAAAACGGCACATGTTCATCAACGAGTTACAACTAATACTCGGAACTGATGCACAGTGGTCCATATGGTGCACAAGCCGGCATGAGTGGATTGCAGAGGCATTAGAGGTCCCGCTCAGAAATGACGTCTCGCTCCTTATGAAGCTCATAAGACAGGATCCCGAGTTCTTTCCGAACATGTACGCTCTTACCTTTTCATCCATCCTTTCAAATTGGAATCTAAATCTATGATCCTACTATATGAAGCCTTTTGCCCAAGTTGAAGAACGAGGAGATTGCCTGCGATTTCTGGATTACATTCTTGGAACAACTCGTACGGGAATCAAAGACGGAGGCAACTGACTTGCCGACAGATTGGAGACACCTTGTTTCCGACGTTCTCAAAAAATCGTAGGTGGTTATCGCTGCATTTGACCTGCCAGTACTTATAGTGTCAAAAAGACTTCCGCGAATTATTTCCAGGTGTCCCACGAATATAGAGCTCTTCAGATCTTTGCGCCGTCTATGCAAAGCTGTCAAAGGCGAAGGCGTGTTAGACGACTTCGTGACCAGCCAACGCAAACTCTCCCTGCAGACTCACTTGAAAAAGCCTGTGCTTGGTGAGGTCGACGTCCTGGTCACACAAATAGGGGAAGATCGTATGTTTGGGCTTTCTCTGTGAGTCTCCTGTTCTGTGTGCTTTCTTCGCCTCCTGATCAATTGGCGTGGTGCAGACTAATTCCCCAACTTCGTCAATTTGATTGTGGCATCGACTTTTGGAAGCGGTTCATTCGTGCCATTCAGTCTCGTACCACCGCCTTAATCGCCCATGGTTGGACCTCGACAAATGTCTCCGGATTCCTGAAGGATCTCGTGGATACAGCCATCACTCAGACCCGTTTCGAGGCAGCTCCTCCGCCGGCTCCGAAGCCGTCTTACCAGACTTGGTACTATCACAGGGAACAGGAGACCCCGAAATCCCCTGATGTTCCCTCTAGCATACGCGATCTCCTTTCTCTCTGCATCGAGACGAATAACATACCTTTCGCTGCACTCATATTCGGCAAGCTCTTCGCGATTATGACAAATGCGCAGGCTATCAAGTATACCCTGGAACCTCTCTTTCCTCTCGTCATCTCTCTTCTCAAGAGTCACCATCTACCCAATGACACTGTTCCATTCGATTCATTCTTCCGCGAGGCCGTCAAACGCTATGTTCTCTACTCCCTTGGACCTAAACCCTCCGCGTTCAATAACGCTTGGAGGGGGGCTCAATCTTCATGCATCTGCGCCGACTGTAGTCATGTCAATCAGCTACTCGCCGCACCTGATTCAGAGTTTACATGGCGCGCCAATCAGAAGAACAGAAAGCATGTGGAAGAGATGCTCCGTGGACAGGCTGGCCTTACCTTTGAGACGATCAAACAAGGCTCACCGCAGGGACTGCGAGTGGTCAAGTCCAAAAAGTTCAAGGAGGTAGCCGATTGGAGACAGAGAAGCATGAACGGGGCTGCTTTGTTGAAGAGCGTCGGGAACGACAAGATGTTGAGCGGGATTTGGGCCTCGGAGGAAGGTGAGTTGAAGAAGATATACGCTGCGCTTAGTGGAGGGACAAACAGCCTGGAAGAGCCTGTCGGGACTCGACGTCCAGAGGGAGCTCTGGTCAACTCCACGCATGCGCATACGCCCCAGACCTCGTCTTCCTCCACTGCTCGCGTTAACGCGCCTCCTTCCGTGCTGCCTCGTCCAAGCCAGTCAGCTGCAACCGGCAATGGCTACCCGTTACCGACGACTGTTCCGCAGAAGCGCAAGATGGACCCTGGCCGTAAGGTAGATGTTGATCTCACCCTCCTCGACGACTCAGACTAGTTTTGGACAGACGTTGGCCTTTACTTACAACTTTCGATTCCTTTGCTTTTCTCTTTCGTCCTTGTCTCCACACCTCTTGACCAAACACCTCTTGACCAAACCTTGCCTCCTTTATACACTAACAATTCGAACTATCATTGCTCTCCTTTACATAATAGAGTATCTATCTTTGAACGAGCTTGGTGAGAGGCTCATATCAGCGTGACGAACGCCAAAACAAGTGTTGAATCTTGATTGCCACATGCACGAGTGGTGCCACTCGTCCCAGTTGGATGGCGCGGACGGGTCATCCCTTCGTATTAGATCGTCCATTGTTCCCAATGTGTCACCACATATATAAAGCAGTAGCGATGACAGTCGTTCGACCTTTCTTCCTTCACATAACATCCTGCCCACTGACATCCTCAGAAACGAGCTGGCTCGCGTCTTGCGATCGTGTCTTGTGTTTTGGCCTTCTTCTTCCTTAGGCTCTGTCGTTCCAACTTCCAGACCTCCCTCGTTGTGCGACACGTTCTTGCATCGCTCCTCGCTCCTCTCTCTCCGAGTCTCTCCTTCTGGACCCCCGCATTAGCTAGCTCATGGTTATCAACAACAACAACACCCTCGACCACTATGCCACCACTCTCACATCGTCACCTCCCAGTGTATCTGCTGCGAATAGCACCGGATCGTTTCGAACACTTCGGTCCATGGCAACTCAGCCTCACGGAAGCAGAACGTCGAACCTCGTGTCCCGATCTAAGCCAACTTCTCGCCTCTCTCCATTATCGTCCGAGGCCTGGTCGTTGGGACAAGCGATGGACCATCTAGACACCGTGTCAACCTCTAGTGCCTCCATGCGTCGAACGGAAATTGGTGCAGAAAGCGTGGCAGCACAGCCCCCCAATGAGCGGGTGAAGATCAGTCGACGGATCGAGCCGGATATCAAGGAAAACCCGAAACGACGCAAGCTAAGCTCTCTAGAGCGTGAGAACTCCTACATGGACGTTAATACCGATGCTGTTTTGGTTACCATGTCGACAAGCCGCCCATCCACTGGCAGGACCATGGAGAGTCCAACCTTCCCTTTGTGTCAGCCAATCACCGACTTCGATGTCATTGCAGACCATTATCTCTCCCAATTGACCCCCAGATACGCACCCGAGCTATTCGTCGGACTTGACCTTCCTGGCAGCGTCCCGGTCAACTTCCGCTGGATAAATACTCAGACTGCGCCGGAGCCCTTCTCGCACAGCGTTATTATCTATGGAGAGTGCCACGAGCGTGGAAGGACCAGGAGCAAGCCTATCATGTACCGCGACTTACCTTCGGGCGAACAACAGCTCCTTCTTACCGTCCCGTATGAACTGTCGTACGACGCTCTCGAGACGCGAAAGGACATGAAGCACGGATTCTTCAGCGAGCAGGTACGCATGAGTCCTTGTCAATTCCACGCTGCCGTTACCTTTCTGCGAGACATCTGGAGCGTGGACAATGTGCAGGAGAAGGGGATAAGTGTTCTGTTGGCGTGTGGATCAGAGGAGTTGTCCATCGAGGTTATGGCTCTGGCGATGACTTATCTCGGTCTGAGAACAAGGTGGAATGTGTTCAACATCGCGGATAGTATCGCAATGGATCCGTCAGTGTATGAAGAGTGGAAACAGGATCTGGAGTATCCGGACATCGGCTTCATCAACGAGTATGTGGCGAGCTGGTATGTGGACTAGGTGCAGACGGCGGATTTCAGGAGGTTGAACGCCTGGTGGAGGCCAGGTGGAGGCCTTGTAGTAGTCAGTGTGGATATTTGTGATCAGTAAATCAACCACTTCTTTGCGTTGTGTACATGTCAAGTACATGTCGGTGAGTCTATTGTTGCAATATAAATGGAAAGAAAGGGTTGAAGTGCCAAGAATATCGGCGAGCCTTGAAGAACAAAGACCGCGGAGAGTGAATAAATTCACCGAAGCAAATGTAGTGAACAGGGCACATGGTGTAGGTGGTTTATCACGCTCGCTCAGCATGCGAGAATGTCCGGTTCAAATCCGAACGTGTCCAGTGCACATCATTGCTACCTTCAAAGTTTTCTTCTTAACGGGCTCAGTGTACAGATCTACTCGAGTAGTCCAGTGCAACTTCCACTGCTTTTGGCCCTCTTTTGGTCCCTTAACGACGGTCAGGGTGAGATGATGAAGAAGGCCCAACGCGGACGCCCCACAGATCCAAATAATATTACAACTCGAGCACAGCGCTCCTGGATCCACAGACAACAACCACTTTGACGGTCCAGCAAAATCGGAAAGAGAGAAAGATAGCAAAACATATACTATACACACACAAAAAAAGCCCCCACTCCCCTGGCGGCCCATCACACCAAAATTATTTATGTAACGACACCCTCAAAATAATAAGAATATACCACGTCAACGACACCAAGCTCGAGAGCATCCAATCTCGACGTCAATATCATGCGTTGGCAAACACAGGGTACGAAGCATGCGGCAACCCTCCCTGTCCTTGCCCCTGCCCATTCTGCCCCTGCTGCCCCTGCTGTTGCTGTTGTGACGGCTGCTGCGGCTGTTGAGTCTGAGCCGCCGCCTGTGCCGCTGCCGCCTCCGCCGCCTGCCTCTGATGCGGCCCCGTCCCCGGCGGTCTCCCTCTCTTCTTCCCCGTGCTCCCCGCTCCTGCCGCGCCAGCACCACCCGCCCCTCCGCCCCCCTTCTTCTTACTCTTGTTCGGTGATGCTCCCTGTGGCGGAGGTGGCGGTGGAGGCATCGACCTCGGAACCATGACTGGTGTATTGCTCGCAGAAAGACCAGGTCCCGAGACCGTGAACGAGTACGGAGAGGGCGGTGGGATTTCAGAGGCCGTACTCGCCGGACTGGCGGTCGAGTTCGCCCTCGCTCCTGCTCCCGTTGCGAACACAGAGAGTGGTATTCCGGGTGCTCCGCTGGGTCCAGAAGCACCCGTCATGAGAGGCATCGTGACGCCGCTCATGATGACGCCGCCTTTACCGGGTGGCGGTGGGGGCGGGTGTATGGGTAGTGAAGATGATGGTGGTTGTGGTGTACCACCGTTGTTTGGTGGACCGCCGGAGCCTGAAGGTGGTGGAGGTGGATTCTGATTTGAGTTCGAGTTCGAGTCCTTGGACGCTCCTCCGCCTTTGGCTTTCTTCTTACTCGCTCCACCACCGGCTGCACCGGCGTTGCTCTTGATGATCTGACCCAATGGCCCGATCTTGCTCTGTGCGGGAAGAGGCGCATCGTCGGGAAGGGTGACTGGTGGAGTTGGTTCCGTAGGTTGTGGTTCCACAGGAGTAGCACCCGGAGGTGGAGGAGGTCCGGGTAATGGTGGGTGTGAAAGATGTGGGTATGAATGTGCGAACGGAGGATGCTGTTGTGATGATGATGGCGGTGGTGGAGGTGGAGGTGGCGGCATAGATAGCACTGAGGTTCCGAAAGGCGGGGGCGGAAGGGGAGTTTGTGATAGTTTGGGCGCAGCGGTGGTAGTTGCAGATATAGCGGCGATGCGTGAGCGGTAATAGGGCTGAAGGAGCCCGATCTGGTCGTCGATCTTCGAGGAGTCGAGGGGAACGAAGGGTGGTGGTAATGGGTATGGAAGAGGTGGTTCGGTGGGCTTGACACTGCACGATAAATTAGGTCAGATCATGTAGACAGATGGAAGAGGGAAGAGAATAAGGCAATGTACGCACGGAACGAAAGCGGGTTTGACACCCTTCTTGCCCCGAAGCAACTTCTTCGGAACAGATAGACTCGAAAGCCCAAACTCCGAAGCGATTCCAAGCTCCTTGAGACCCAAAAAGTCCTCGCCGAGATCGTCTGTGAAGCCACCCCTGTGTATCACAGTGACCGTCAGTCAACACGAAAACATAGAGAATATCAAGACGAGAAACACAAACATAACAAACGCGCTATCCTCCTCATCTCCCTCTTCACCCCCATCAGCCCCGACCTTTCCACCGAACAACATCTCATCATCCACAACGCCCATACCAACACCCGCACCCAGTCCATTCTCGACCGCCGCCGCAGCCTCTTGGGCGTATGCGTTGGCAAGTTTCTTCTCGAGCTCGAGAAGCCTGTTTCCGTGTCGGAGGACGTCGTCCGTGATATATCGCTCCAGATCCTGAATGCGCGTCGTCCCGTGCGAGAACAACGTATGTAGGATGATTTCCTGCACCATGCCACATCAGTCCCATTCTGAAAGAGAAGAGAAAGAGAAAGAGCGACATACCTCCGACGTCATACTCCCCGAATACCGATCCAAATAAAACCTCATCGTCCTTCCCACGCCCATCAAAAACTCACTCGCGATCCCACTAAGCACGTCCAACGCGACCTTACTACTCCCCTGAAACCCCTCATGCTCCAACACCTTCCTGTTCATCCAATGCATGCATCCGTCCGCGTCTTCGTTTCCTATCTCCAGTCCTCTTCGACGCTCTTTCCGCCGTACGAGAACTTTGCGGGGTTTACCGTCTTCGCCGATTATTTCGCGGGTTTCAGGAGGGAAAGAGGTGGAGGTGGTGCTGGTGCTGGCAGGAAATGAGGCGGAGACGGGACGCGTAGGCACCGCCCAAGGCCGTTCGTCAATCTCATCCACATCTTCGACGACCGGCCCACCAGCAAGAATCGCCGCCGCCTCAGCTTCAAGCGCCGAAGAAAGTGAAGGCTGAGACGGCGCGGATGGATCGTCTGGGTTATTGGAGGATGCGGAGGCGGCGGCGGCGAGGACGCTGAACCGTGCGTGGGTGGATCGGACGCGGTGCAATGTCTTGATATTCGCGTTCATGTGGCCTAGGAGGCCACGGGCGGGGGGTTGGGAGGGTAGAGTGGGTTTAGGTTTCCGCCGGCGTTTGCGGGGATGTTCGGGGGCCGTGGAGGAGGTGATTTGTGCGTAGGTGGGTGGTTGTGACGACGAGTGTGGGAATGGGGAGGAGGAGGACGTGGAAGGGAGGGGAGGAAGGGAGTTTGCGAGTAAGAGGTCTGAGCGTTGGGCGGACCACCAGAGATCGAGGCGGTCTGTGGGCGGTGGAGGTGGGAGTAGTGACGGTGGGGGCGAAGGTGCAGGTGCAGGTGCAGGTGCAGGTGCTGGAGTCGACGAAGCCAATCGGATGCGTTTACTAGGTCGTGACGACGGCGTCGGCGTCCCAGTCGACTTCCTCTTCTCACCTACTTGAGCATCCACCGGCCCTTGCCCATTCACGAGCACATCACCTCCCATGATACTGACCGCGTCCGGCGGCACCAACTCCCTCAACCGCTCTTCCACTGCCACTGCCCCACTCCCGCTCCCACTAGCGCCCCCATCCGTATCCATCCTCACATCATCCCCCATCTCCATCTCCACATCCAACGCCCCCTCCAACTCCCAAACCATCCTCATCCCCTCCCCCGTCCTCACCACCGCCGCCTGCTCCCCAAACTCTCCCTTCCCCCCTGCTCCTCCTCCCGACCTCCCCACCACGATCTTCGGCTTCTTCTTCCCATTGATCCCATTGATCGTGATCGACGGAGTGGACGAGATGGATCGATATATCGGTCGGGCGACGCCGTTGGTGAGACGCGAATTCGAATTGGAGGAGGAGGCGACGGCGAGGTCCGGGGGGATGAAGGGGTCTGCGCGATCTTTCCGGTCGGTGATGTGTTTGAGGAGGTGGGCGGATTTGTGTTTGAGGCGGGTGGCGCAGAGGCGGAGGGGGTGGTTCTGGGTGGATGGATGGGAGGGTGTGCGTTAGTAGAGGACATGAGGACGAAAGAAAAAGAACATTAAAAAAGGACGAACCTCTGTGGCATTATAAGTATAACAATTCGACCAAATCAGATCCAAATCGTCCTGGAACTCCTTCTTAGACTTGTACTGCTTCTGTTTCACCTTCCGGAGCATCGTCTGGAGGTCCATCGGGTGGGGTATAACTGAACGACAACAACGAAAAGAAGAGTGTGGGTGAGTAACGTGGTGGAGTGTGGATATGAATATGAATATGAAGATATGAGTATGATAGAAGAGAGAGAAGGAGCGTTTTGGGTGGGGCACTGGCTGAGCTGGCTTGGACGACGACGACAGCAGGAGCCACGGTTGTGGCGTCCTACTATGCCATTCGATCCCGCGAGAGACCACATCGAGAAGGCAGGACAGGCTAGATTTCTGCGACTCTCAGGAGGTTCAACGCCAAAACGAACGCTATCACAGCGTCTGAAATTTCCGCACTTCGGCGGTTATCAACACCGTTCAACCGCCATGTATCGAACCACGACACGACGGTATTCGATATTGGGACATCAACCGTGTCCAGGATCTTTTCTGACCAAATACCAAACGCTAAATACTAAACATTGAAGGTAAAGGCGACCATCAGTGGTGCCACAATCATGATCACAGTTTCAATCATGTACTCGGAGCCACCACCATATCCTATCGCCGTCATCACTCTCTGATAACAGACAGCGGACGAGGCAGTCCAAAACACCATGTGTGTTATGAAGTATGAAACAGCAGCAGCAGAAAGTTGACCACAGAACAACGTCCAGTCCACGAACGAGATGTCCCGGCCGAACGCATGTCACCTATACAGCCGTGCGCCACCCGGGCAGTAAGGGCGGCAAGGACCAAACTAGGACGAAACAAGAACAGTGTTATAGGCTTCTAAAACCCAGTCACGACCATTGAATATGTCAACTCATGTATAACCTCAAACGAGGTTGGTCTGGTGACTGAGCACGGTGAGAACCCCACCCAACGCCGAACAGACAACCCAATCCACGACTGCATCATCACATAGCATCGCACGAACACAGACAAGAAATCATCCAATCGAATACCCTCATATCGACTTTGGTGTCAATAACGAATCGACACCAATGGCGCTGGGCCCCCTCCCGCACAGAGATTGGGCATGCGGACCGAGACGTCCAACGCGCAATCAGAATCGGACCAAAACACCATCCGACCAAGACCTCAACCCCAGCCAACGAGGAAAGAATCCCTCAGGACCGCGCAAGAGGGTAAGAGGACAAGTGATAAGAGGGGCAGAGACGCATTGGCCGGCCGAGGTCGAGACACCATACGGGGGTGTCACACATGCGATCCAGAGAAGGAGGGCGGGGATGCTGGGGAAATGCGTGCGAGGGTGATAGGATCCGTGGCCGTGGTGGAAGGGTTGGTTGGTCGTACAGATAGGGAACAATGGTAGCCAGGATGCGAACAAGAGCAAGAGTCGACGAGGGCGAATGATACGCGGTGTCGACGTGACACTTATAACGCGTTTGGGTGGCGAGAACGACCATGGCGAAACATAGAAGGAGATGGTAGGCGACGCGACGCGAGCAGAACCCAACACTCCTTCGCCACACCATAGCACCAGGACACCACACGAACAAGACACAATCCGAAAGTAGAAAGCAAGACACTCACTATCATAATAATCAGGGTAATCCGTCTTCGAGACCGGCTTGAGGAAAGCCTCCGCATCATGGTTATCCTACCATTCGCAACAACAAGCAAAGAGGTGTCAGTGCTAGTGGACGAACGAGGGGTAACGCCACAGGTGGGTGGCGAGACTAGGATGGATAAGTGAACAGACCATGGTGACCGTCCTCAAATCGTGCAACATATCCTCGAGCGCATCATAGAACGGGTCAGCCAACTTCGGGTCCGACGTCTTATTCTACAACCGAACGAAAATTATCCAATGAGCAACGACGAACAAACGGTGTGAAGCGAAGTGCGAAGTGATAGCAAGCAAGACACTCACGCGCGCATCCTTCACGGTCTGTAACAACAACTTCAAGTCGCCCTCAGGCAAGGCCGACTTGATCTGGCTGCCGGCCAACGACCGGAGCAGGTTCTGCATGTCCCCAAGGATAGATTAGCGAAAGAACTGGCGATGGATGGCACGCGTGTGGACGTACGTTCATCGTTGAAGACGAGCGAGGGCTACAGGATAGCGTTCGGGCGCGAGTGTGGCTGAGGCTGAACCTGATCGCGAGACAATGTCATTCACTGCCGGCGCGGTCCGGCGCGTGCGGGGGTTGCCGAGGGGCCACAGCGCGTTTCTGCAATTGTTTTTTTTGTGTTGTCTTGTTGTCCTAGCTCGTCGATATCGCCTGTGCGCCTTTGTTCTCTGAATGGCTAACTGGTTCGCGTGTCTATCGGCGCGACGTCTCCTTGTTGCTACATGCTGGAGTTATCGAAAATTATCTCTGCTCGTGCTCGACCGCGAATACTAGACACCTTTCTCTCCCTCAACACTCCCTGATCTTGCTGCAGATGACTCTGGTGGAATCCTGTATCACTCTGCTCTTAGGAAACTGATCATGTTCAGCCTAGGTGCCCAACTAGTCCCACGGCTCTCAGCATTCATCTCTGCAGTCCTCTAAATTCTCAACCCCCGAGAAAGACTGAGCACCTGTTCTGCGTCTCGCTTGGACTTGATCGCAAACCAACAACTTGTATACAGACCATTTATAAGGTGCTAACTCTGGCATATAATTATCATGATCCACACGGCGTTTTACTCTACGCTCCCTTATGCATTACTACACCCTGTTCCACCGTTCTCGAAGAACCAGCCACCCCGTCTCGCCAGCGAGAACTCCGACCTCCCCTACCAACCCTCCTCACGTCTCCCCTGTCTTCGTTCCTCGCCCTTGACCCCAAAATCGTTCGATAAACTCCGGCTCAAACTCAATCTCGCTGTGACTTTGTAGAACAAGGCTGTCGGTTTGCCCTTGAATTTAAACGAAGAAAGAGAGGTAGCAGAGGACGTGCGTGACGATGCAGGAGACGACTCGGGCGTGTTTGCGCAAGATGAGGTCGAAGCGGAAGAGGAAGAGGATGTGCGGTTGGCCATGGTGGATCGCGGTCTCCTAACGGTGAACGACGTCGACTTTTCCTCGCTTGCGCCACTGGCAGACCACGCTCGCATCGCACGCGACCCCATCTTCGATATGGACCTCACCATCCGCATCCCATCCTTCACTTTTCCACCACCTCCTCCGCCTCTACCTTCCTCATCCAAATACCCATCCCAGTCCTCGTGCAAGTCCCAATCATCCAACCCAACATAAACCCCATCACAATCCCAATAGCCCCTCCACCGCCGCCCCACACCCCTCACGAACCGTTTCGGATGACACAGCTTCACAGTTCTCGTCAGAGTTTTTATAGGTCTGTGTGTAGGACGGGAGAGGGAGAGGGAGGAGGAGCGTTGGGCGCGGCGGGATGGGGGTTTGGGATGAAGGGGTTGACAGGGATGGCGGGCGGGCATTGGGTGGTTGGGGAGGGATGAACGGTGGGTGGCGTTGGAGAGTGTATGTTCATTGAGAGAATACAGCGTCGACATCATGGGCGACATTTCTTTGTTTGGCGTGAATGAGAGAATGCGTGGACGAGCTGGTCGTTATTCAAGTTCGAGTGGAACTAGTACGAGGAAGAGGATGCTGAACGAGGATGAGGGCCGGCCTGATCTTGGGGATGTCCTGGATTGGAGCCATTTAAATAAGTGTGTCAATTGACGAGAGTTGCGTGCGTGCGTGCGTTGATTCAGAACGATCGTGCACTCGGGCTGATAGTCTGAGATGTGAGAGTTTGAGATGTGATTTGTCTGTCTGAATCTTTTGTGTGGCGCCGAGACATACTTACACATGATAGAGTAGTCGAGGATGTAAATCTGAAGACTGATTGGCCACACACGAATAGACGTGGTTTAAAACATACATTCAAGCAAACACGACCACCTCCTCACCCCGCAAAATTAAATATATCAAACCAAACAACCCCCTCCCGTGTGGCCCATAGCCAAGCCCCTCTCCTCCCACACATCCCAAAATAGCAACACATTCCCAATTCAGTTTTGCTTCCGGACCCGTCTTCCGGTGTCTGAATGTGGCTGTGCCCAGCGCACGGACGTCAAACTCGGACTCTCGGACATTCCCGAACAATCGAGGGCGTGAGACAATTGCCTCTGTGTCTGGTTTCGTTCGTTCGACTCTCGTCAGCTTGTTTCTCCGCCGCCACCACATCGTCCCCGTCTCGTTATCTCGATACTTCACCAGGTTTACGGATATATATCCACGTATACGCGACAAAGGCCAACCATCCACGGAATCTGAACCACGATAATCAACTCGTCATTCAAGGAGCAAAGCAATCCCCGCGCAATGTCAAACCTGAAGAACTCCCCCTTCGGTAAACGTCTCCGCGCGTCCCAAGCAGACCCTCCCGACGACTCCGAAGGCCCACGGCGCAACAAACCACGTACCAATGCCATCCCATCTGCATCCGTGTCTGCTTCCAACACACCCAGTCCCCGTACTCTGCCCTCTCTCGCTCACGGTTCCAATCTCAACAACAATGGCAACAGCAATCCGCTTGTGTTCTCCGTCGCTCCGTCTCCGGATACGACGAATCATACGCCCGGTGGAGCATCCACGGGATCAGCGTTCACGTTCGATACGAGACAGACGACGCTTGAGCCCGAGTCGCCTGGGCCTTCGACTTCCGCTGCAGCTGGTCGGCCCACCTCGCCCTCGAGAGCTCAATCATCTGCACTGGGTGGCATCATGGGCATGGGCCTAGGCGGAGCAGGTGGAAGTGGGCTAGGCGGAGCAGGAGGAGCAGGAGCAAGCAAGAGAGACTACGGCGACCGTTTCGTCCCATCGCGCGACACGGGCGATATGCGGACGTCGTATAATTTGATGGATGAGCCTGCGGGACCGTCGACGCCGAGTAAGACGAAGATCATACCGACGGAGTCGGATGCTGTTAAAGGTGAGCTTTTTCTCTCCTCTCTTCCTTCTCTCTCTTGCCTTGCGAGTCTCCTTTTTGGCTGCGATTTGCGAGAGTTTGGGGGGTCCGATGACGCGCTTTGGGGCGTGTTTTTGCGTGTCGCGTTCCTTGGGGAGGGCTGTACGCGTTATCTTCGCGATGGCGACGCGTTCGTTCGTTCGTTCGTTCGTTCGTAGATGAAGAACGCGCACGAAAACGCGTCAATTTGAGACGTACGACGCGACGCGTCTCCTTCCTCCTTCCTCCATGCCCCTCCCCCTTCCTGACACGACACGACGCGTCGAGCGTCGAGTCACAACATCCTTAACGCGTAAGTTGAGACACCCCACGCGTAAACAGCGAGGCCTGTGAGGACGTGTCAACGAGGGTGAGGCTCAGGACTCAGGAGGGACGCGTCAACGAATCGCGCGACGTGCTGACGTGCTGCACGCGTGGCTTCGTTTATTGTGATTCCCCCGATTGCGATATCGATTTCGATTTCCCGATCATCGCGCCCCTCGTGTCCCGTCGGCGGCGGGAGCGGTGGGGTTCTTCTTTCGCGTGTCGCGGGTGCGGGGGTGTCGCGTCGGATTTGTTTTTCTCGTGTCACGACTTAGGACTTAGTTCTCGATTTTCATGGGTGTTATGCACCTTGGTGTGTATGGTCATGTCCGTGGCGGACTGATCGGTGCTTGATGAGCGCGTTTTATTCGACGCGTCGCCTTGCCCATTGTGCGGTCTCTTTCCCTCCGTCTCTCCGTCTTTGAGGTGACAAGATAGGGGCTTATGGGCGTTGCGATTGGGGCCGGTTTGCGTCCTGTCGTTTGTTCGTAGCCGTGGCCGTGGCCGTGGTTGTGGTTGTGGTTATGGTTGTGGTCTGCTCTTACACACTCCACCGTCCACTCTGGATCCAGTCCAGTTCCTCGCACAACGGCTGTTGTGCCCCTGCATGTACATGTACACATATGAAGACGGGACACGATATCACGCGCAGTATGAGCATGACAGCTCGCACACGAAAATGCGTCTTGCTCTCGTTCTTGGACGATGTGACTGCGGTTGTGATTGGACCCCGCGAGATGGAGATAGGGGGTCTGTACGTGTGGAGTCTTTAAGTTTCGTTTATCTTGCGTGTGGGGGGTTTGGACGGGCGTTGTATCGATGATTGGTATGCTCAGTCGGCGGTTAGCTGGCGAGATATTCGCGGCGCAGTGGTTTGTTTCTGGCGTTTTTGCGTTTCTGGTCGAGTGTTATGGTAGATGGTCAACCTCAGTATGGCGGCCTGTGGGCTGTTACGACTACTGCTCTCTGCGAACTGTCAGCCCCTGAATACGCCACAGTGGCGCTCCAGCGCTTATACCAACCTTATGTTTTCATGTCGAGCATATATGCACCTTTTTCTTTTTCGCTCTCTCGCTTGTTCGCCTCCTAAATATAGCACAGCTACTGACTTCCCCTCCGTACACTTAGAACAAGCGAACGCGCTCTTCAACACGATTCTCCACGCCGAAGTCACCCCTCCCTCCCCACACCGCCCCTCCTCGCCCACCCGTCCCCCCGCCACCACCAACAACTCCAACAACTCCGCCACCAATGCCAACGGCACCACCGGCACACCCACGACCCCCCGTCGCCGCCTCTTCGCCTACCACTCCCCCTCCGCCGCCGCCGCCTCCACCTCCAACACCTCGCCCACCCGCCGTCTCGACACCCCCACCGACGAAGCCTACTCCATGTCCCCCGTGCGCGCCGAATCGCGCCAGATACTCGAATCGCCACGGAGGCAATTACGCAACGTGTGCAAGACGCCGTATCGCGTGCTCGATGCGCCCGAGCTGGCGGACGATTTCTACGTGAATGTTGTGGATTGGAGTTCCACGAATGTTCTGGGTGTTGGTCTGGGCAGTTCGGTGTATTTGTGGACGGCGCATACGGCCGCGGTGTCGAAGTTGTGTGATTTGTCGAGCACGAGCGATACGGTGTCGTCCGTCGCGTGGGTGCAGAAAGGGTCGACGTTGGCCGTGGGCACGATCTCTGGAAAACTACACATCTACGACGCGGTCACGCTCCAACTCGTGCGTTCGTACCCCGCCGCGCACGCATTGCGGATCGGAGCCTTAGCGTGGAACCAGCACGTACTCAGCAGCGGGAGTAGAGATAGGATGATTCAGCATCGGGACGTGAGGGAGCAGACGCTCAAGCCGTTTAAGAAGAGTCCGGGGCATAGGCAGGAGGTGTGTGGTTTGAGGTGGAACGGGGAGGGGATGGGCGGGGTGCCGAGTGGGATGTTGGCGAGTGGCGGGAACGATAATAAGGTGTGTATTTGGGATTTGAGGGGGTCGAGGAGACCGGGGCTCGGCGGAGGTGGGGGCGGCGCGGGGAATGGGAACGGGAGTATGGCGCGGGGAGGGGCGGGGAGCAGTATAGGTGCGGGAGGAATGGGAGGAGGAGGAGGGCAAGGACAAGGGCAGGGGACAGTGAGTGTGGGTGCGGAGGCGAGTGTGCCTGGGGCGGAGGGCGGCATCGGGGACACGCCGTTGTGGAAGTTCCATGATCATACGGCGGCGGTGAAGGCTTTGGCTTGGGATCCGCATGTGGCGGGGGTGTTGGCGACGGGGGGCGGCACGCAGGATAAGCATATTAGGTTTTGGAATGTGCTTTATGGGAATAAGCTTAGTGAGCTGGATACCGGGTCGCAGGTGCGTTTTTTGTTCTCTTTTCGCGCATATATTCACTTCCACCTCGAACGCATATATCCTGAACTGACCTTCCTCCCCCCCCAAACAAACAGGTCTGCAACCTAACCTGGTCCCTAACCTCGCACGAGCTCGTCTCCACACACGGTTTCTCCTCCACCACCGCCCAAAACCAAATATGCATCTGGAAATACCCCTCGCTCGACATGGTCGCCTCGCTCACGGGGCATACCTCGCGTGTTTTATATCTCGCGATGAGTCCGGACGGGGAGACGATCGTGACGGGGGCGGGGGACGAGACGTTGAGGTTCTGGAACGCGTTTCCGAAGAGGGAGGATAGGGAGAGGGAGAGGAGGAGGGAGAGTCGGTTGGATTATGGGAGACTGATCCGATAGTGGTAGGGGTGGCGGTGTTTTGTGTGATATTGGATGGAGGAGGTTGGTGTTGGTTGGGGGAGGATGATCTTTATACTGGATATATCTCTTGCTATCTCTTTTTGACTACTACCTGCCTGCCTATCCACCCACCCACCGCGTTTCTCCTTCATATCCCTCCATTCAAATATGAAGCATTGTATTCAACTTTGCAGCGAGCAGCCGCTACCGGCCCTTGCCCTTCTTCTCTCCCTCTCATCGTCACCGTGACCGTCATCCCTCTTTTGAACCTCTTCGAATCGTCTACTCTCGTTTCTCTTTCCGCTCCCCTCTTTCTCGCATTCAAATTCCCTTCAGCTCATTCAACTCAATCTTTTCTTGAATGTGCTAAACCTAAACCCCCGCCTCCCATACCCCCGCCTCCCATTGAGCTCTCGCCCTCGCTATCGATTTTCTCATGTCACCCGCCATTCTAGGAGCAAATATATAGTAGTACGCACACCGACGATTCAGACCTTCTTTTTCTTGGCTTTACTGCTTTTTCTCGTTTTTCCTACCTCTTCCCTTCTTCCTACCTTGGTTCTTTCCTCCGGAGCCCTTTCACCCTTCTTTCAACCTCGTTCTTTCTTTTCTTCTCATCTAAAGTCAACTTTACTCGTGTTCAATTCCGAGCCCAAATCTGTCCGAGTCCACGTCAAGTTCCGTCAAATTCGTTATTGTTTTCGGTTCTCGTTCTACTGTTTGCCCCGTGTTTCTTTGAAAGAGAATGTAATATATAGTATTGGATGTATATATACCTTTTCGTGTTCTGGAACTCTGATTAGCGGCGAAGTGTGTATGAATGTGGATATCAATATGACTATCAAGTGGGTAGTTTTGTGAGTGTCGTCAGGGTGAACAAGGCAGACACAAGAAGAAAAGGCGGGTACATGGAAGTGCCACAGGATCACCGTTCCCACGACGTTTTATCGTGTTTCACAAGATCTTCACGAGCAACCCACTAGAATACTTTTGTGTACATCACGAAACACACAGTACCTACGGGATCTAGACGGTCTAAGATACTGAATTGTAGAATCAGAGTCCTATCTCCCTTAGGCTGCCTCTATGCCTAGGCCTGATCATATGGGCCACAGTTCTACTGCATCGCAACTGATGCATACCAATCATCCTCGTCTCTAGCTACCATCACCATCCCCTCCTTCTCCTCCTCCTCCTCCATACCTACTCTGCCCAGGATATAGTGATACACAAACGGCGGCGTACCTCTAATCCTCCGCATACACTGCCTAAGCAACGCACACAGCGCGGGGAGGTTCGGTGCATGGACTCCCAGTCCCAGTCCGACAAGAGTATTACTAGTACGAGTAGGCAGCCATGAGTTCGATGATGTGGATGGGTTTTGGTGGCTACCGGTACGGTTGTGGTGAGCGGAGAGGACTGACACGCGGATTCGTTCCTGTTCGAGGACCTCGAGGGCGACGTTCCACACGAGCTGTTTTTGTTTTTCCGATCAATCAATAATCTCATCAGACCACAATCGTCTAAGGTCTTTAACGCCATGAAAACATAAATGCCGTGGGACCAAGGCGGCGCGTAATATAACGAACCAGTGAATTCTGAAAGGATAGGACGTACAGAAAGTGTTCCATCCAAATATTCATAATCACCCTGCCCAAACCCCTCCGAAATGCTCGCGATATCCACGGCCGCACTGACCGCCTGCTCCCTTGCGCCCGCTCTGACTTCTGGAAACGCATTCGCGAGCATACTATGCATGTTGATGAGGCCCGTCAGGCCGAGGAGGGTGCTCGTCTGCATTGAGAGCACGCCGACACGGTTAGAAAGGATGAGGGAGAAGTGTGTGGTGCTTAGTTTGGTGCGAGTTATGTAGTCATATATGCGCAGGATTAGGGAGGTGTAGGTGGGGTACCAGAGGGGAGGGCATCCTAGTGTTTATTATAAGGCAAATCAAGGTGTCAGCGATAATACAATGACGGCACAGCGGAGACGAAGGTGAAGAAAAAGAATGAGGGTCAGACCTGGAGTTGGAGCCGATTGAGCAATTTGGGCCCATTGCGAGATGAATGTTCTCGTTTCGTGCAACAGTCGAATACCAATCGTCCGCATTATAATAATATTCGTGGGATCCAGAGGCGGATCCATTCTCTGTCCCACAAACATTTCTCTGTCAATGAACTGCGACTGGGACGACAGATCGAGATAAGTATGCGTACTAACTGCAACTCACCGTCAACCCCCCAAGCTCGTCCTCCAACCACGGAACAACCCCCACAGGCATCTCCAACATCATATCCGACACCAGCTGTATACCCAACAAATGACACAAAATCGAGCTCTCTTCATCTGCGTCGTCCGAGGCCATCAGATGTCCATACATGTGCGCGATGTCCCTCCCTCTGATAGAACTTGCCGAAGCCACGGCCGAAGGGCTTGGAGGAATTGTGATATGCATCCCGTACTTCAGGACGACCTCGTTCGCCTTACTCAACATACCCCATCCGTCGTTAAAATGGCGTTTTAGATGAAGATACGTCCCGATGATGGTATACGCCTGTACTTCATCCAATGGCGAGAGTAAGGGCGAGTCGGAGGAGAGCACATCGAGGGCGAGTTGGAAATAAACAGCTTCGAGCTGAGAGGCTATGACATACTCTTCATCTTCGCTCTCGGGGTGATGAAAGAGACAGCCGACGTCGTGGGCGATGTGAATGCGTACCGCCATATGGAGGGACAATTTCGCATAGCAAAGTCAGGGAAGGTAAGGCCCTATTGACCTTGCTTATTTGACGCACTCGGGCTTCTCGTGTCATTTCCCACCGGACGATACCGAATTTAGAATGAAGACAATGATATTGACGCCTGCGAATGGACTCGAAGAAAGTATCACAGCTGCACGAGAACTGGAAGAGGTAGTTCATGGCGAGTCCTGTCACATGTTAAGTCGTCCAAAGGTTCTTTTAGAACCACAAAGCATCGGAAGGTCTCCCACACCGCGTGTATTATGGCAAAGAAGGGCCAATCAGTACACCGAAAGAAAGGAGGACAAACGTCGTGTAAGACGCTGAACTTAACCTTAAGATACAACACCAGGGAACGTCTGTCAGCTTCGCTGGAGGAATTACATCGAAAAGAATGAGCGAAACCAGCATCAAATTAGCGCATTGCACGTATGGTACTTTGGAGAACGTTGATCAAGATGGGTGAATGAAGTCGAAATCATTGCGAGAGCTGAGGCCTCTCCCGGTCAGTCAGAATCTGATAGTGTGAGGTCAATATCCACTGGACCGTACGCTTTGCGCTTCTGAGGAATAGATCGTGAACCGGAGGCTACAGCACCACCGTTTGAAGAGCCGGTGATAGGTGCCTCTGATGCGAGAGACGAGCCCATGCCTGGCCGTGTGTGTTCTTTAGTGCTGGAAGACCCTGCCGGACGGTGAGGTACGATTGGCAGTGGGATGTGTCGTTTGGTGTGGCTGACAGAGCTTGCCGCAGGTCGTGATGTAGTGCTCGTAGAAGACGTACTGGGTTGCGGACCTGACGACGCTGCCATCGAAGTGGGATGCGCTTGGCTCGGGCGGTTGATGCCGAGCTCCTTCTTGGATATATGCGTGTCCCCAGAAATCGCCGCCAGCATCTTTGCCAACCCACCATCCTCCGAAGCCCAAATTTTCTTCAGTATCGCCTCGCTCCCTACGCTCTGAAGCAACGTCATAGCAGTTCGGTTTCTGTCCTTCCATACCGCGACCTCGGTGAAGACTGCAGACTTCGTGATTCTGAGCCCGTGAGGCGAAGGGCCCTTGACCGTCTCAAAGGCCAGTCCGGGCTGGCCGCGTAGCCTGTCTTCAGCATGCTTTCTCCTTGCAAGAGCTGCATGCCATGTGACCTGACTTCCTGACCCTCGAAGAAGTTTCCCGACCTCGCGACAGTCGCTACAAGAGCATGTTGAACCCCCGCCTCTCCACTCGGCTCTGGATGGGGACGGTTTGGGTTTTATGAAGTACGCCGTGAAGGTTTTGACGCCTTCTCGGAAGAAGTAGTCGAAGGGGTAGGTGTCACGGGAAAGATTATGCGACTTGAGGAATGATACGACAATGGGGAACAGAGGAACTAAGGTGGTCGTGATAGATTCTTCGTTGGTGGTGACAGCGAGAACCTTTTTCAGGATGTGAAGGGCAGAGGCGGTGTTATTCGTCTCGATGCAAAGGGAGAGAATGTCATTGACATCGTTGAACAAAGGGGGCGTCCTTGGCGCTGTTGGATAGTGAAGCGTTGACCTCGGATACACGCCGTAGTTGTAGACATTGACAGGGGCTTGAGGTTTGATCGCGTCAACGCGGGTCTGGGAGATGGAAGTTTCGACAAGGTCCTTCAGGAATGCGGTTAGTTGATCTGAAGTCCACCGATGCTCAGTGATCGCGGCGGTGTGGGAGTGAACGGCACGAATGAACGATTTCCAGAAATCCAAACCGCAGGCGAATGTACGGAGCTGAGGCAAAATACTGAGAAAGTGATTAGACTTTAACTGTGCGGCAAAAAATACTGTGATTATGCCCTTACATCGACGGCCCGAGGGTCGGTTTGCGCTGAACCTCTTTAGCCAATAGAGCGGCTTCGCCCACTGCTGGATGCTTCAACGATTCCAGTGCTAACTTCCTATGACCGGAGACGACGCCGTATAAGTCAGGCTGTCCATGAAGAGTGTGGCCGAACGTGTTCAGGGTATCCAAGATTTGCTGGTTCGTTCTATATTGACCGAGGATGCGTGAAAAGCTACGTTTGAGGGGTTGAGAGTAAGGTTTCTACTATCCCGTAAGGAATGCATGAGCACTTACGGTCCTGTAAATGCATCACGGACCGACTGTGTCCAATCGCTGGGCAAAGCATTGTTCTCCGATTTCGATTCTGAAACGAGACCTTTCAGGAATGCCAGCCAAAAGCTGACAGATACGTGATCCTTGAGCTTGGGAAGAACGCTGCGACATGTATAAACACGTAAGCGATCCGAGAAAGATGATCACCTGAAGAACTGACCGTCCTTGCAGAAGCCCACTGTCACGTTTTATGAGCTTCAGCAAGATAGGCACATCCTCTTCCGCTGGCGCCTGGAGAGTCTGAACAGCCCACTCGCGTCTTTTCTCACACCATTCCGCCCATTGAGCACTACCGCGTATCAGACCGTCAAGATGATCTATAAAGGTGAAGCGCTTCTGGAAGGATCCCGTAGCTGCGAGTGCCTTCTCAAACCTAGAGGAGTGCAAGATGGATAAGTCTACTAGAAAGGCATAGAAAAGCAAGATATGAGAACTAGACGGACACAGGTACGGCAGCTCCATACAACGCTGCTGTGCATCCTTCTAATTGACCATCGTCTTGGGTACGCTTTCGTTCGACCAGGTAACGGATGAACTTGCGCCACCAATCTGATTTAAGATTGAGGGCCATAAGCTGGGGAAAGACACTGAATATCCATAAGCAAGGGTGATGGTGCTTGGAGGGGAACAGTGGTTTGAGATCAGCCTTACAGCTCTTTCACGTGTGCCAGTCCCCCTAACGTGGTCGCAGCTGAGACCATGAAAGATATGTCCTTTTCTTCAACTTTCCGCAGAGAACCGAGGATCTGCGTCCGTTTATTATTGAACCAAATGCTTGGCGGACGAGGAAGAGGCTGGGTTGATACTTCGTGGGCAAAGTGAGTCTCCAGTGACTCCACGAAGCTCAGGCGTTCAGACGTCGAAGTCGTATTTGAGATCACATTTTCCATCCTATCCGTCCACGCGTCGTCAGTGACAAAGACCATAGTAGACAAAAGATGAGAAGTAATAGGGTGAACATACACAGGCATAACGTCAGCCCACGCAAAGGTCTGGCACGCTTGTACGAGCCGGTTAGTACCAAAAACTGCGATATCGCTCCCCGCCCGGCACGAGTCGACGGCCTTGGTCCATATAACAGGATCTTTCCAACGAACAGCGGAATCGGCGATGAGCTGTCCTGCTGCTGCAGAGCCCACCGTCGCAGCAATTTCGACAAAATCGAGCTCTTCCTTTGTTGGCACGAGGGACGAAGAGGAGGTCAACGCCGTAATCGCTACTTTACTGCCGCCGAGCGAAGCGATGACGCTTGTATTCTTGGTGTCGGGCCAGATGAGGGCGACAGACCGATGATAGACTAGATTTTATGATTAAAAAAGTACCACAAAAGGTAGACATATGCTCACAATATTCGAGTGAACCAGCTCCCTAACATATCAGTGAGGCTGTCAGTGGCGAAAAGCGAAAAGTGTGCTCTGTTGCAGTGTAAAATCACTCACGTTACCCTGATATCCTTCATAATCTTCATCATCAGGGCCTACATTTTCCCAGTAGTCCTCGTCGATCATGAGCTCCTCTTCGCTCAGATGCTCTTTTGTTCCTAGCGATTCGCCGTTTGGTCCAGCGATGAGCTGTACTGTAATTGTGGTGTAGTTAACTTCAGCCATGGAATACCCTCCGCCCATACACTCGTCTTCGTCTTCGTCATCCTCATCGTGCCAATGCCGACGCTCGTAATATCCCATGTCATCATCCGACACTCCGGATCGTGTGCAATGCAAACTTCCAAGCCCAACCCTGAAACCAACTCGAGCGCAGACATCACGAAGGTTGAGGACGCGCGCGGCGTCAAGACCCTTTAGCTTGTCGAAGGATAGGTTCGCATGCGAGTACTCGTGATCTAAAATATACGCAAGCTTCACTGGAGGTGGCTCCTCGGTGACAGGATCGAGTCCATGCGCATCAGCAGATTTCCACGCCTTCAGTATGCGCTCCAGTTGTTCCATGGGACCGTCGAGTTCGGGTATTGTTGGAGGAAGCGATGAAACGGCGTCTCCACCTTGAGATTTGGAGGCTGGAGTATGAATAAGATTGTACGATAATGCGAAACGATAGCCCGAAGTGACGGGTTTGACCTCGTGGACGACGTCCGTGTACCAAGAAAGGACTGTGGTGTCCGTCAAGCTGGCGGAGGCGAAGTCGAATACTTTAGACTGTTTACCGTGAGACACACGGACTTGACCACCAGCGAATTGGGACGGAAGGATGATGACAATCGTGGCGAACATCCCTGGAGATTTTTCCGTGCTATAAAGTGAGAATATAGTCAGCAAATGACCATAGGAGTAAGAGCTAGTGCATACTCTTGATGAGGAAGAAAGCTATTGAAGAGACGATAAGTCAACATCGCGCGACGGAAAGAATTCGGAAAGACTGCTTACTGAGAGCCTGTTTCATAGAGCAACATTTTATAGAACTCAAGCCTTGGAATCGTCTTGTTCGTCGTACCCAGATCAGAGCAGACTCTGGGCACTACCTCCTTCATTAGCCACTGGTCCCATCTCGGATTATCGAAGGTTACGTGGCTGGGGTCTAGCTCCCATGTATCTCGCACCTCGACGTCTACTACGGTTCGTTCGCCTTTGCCAAATGGTGCGCGGTTCATTGCTTTACAAAGGCGCTGAGCCTCAGGGATGCTGAGAGGGAGCCCAACTGCACCAAAGCCGTCAACGTTGATAGTAGGCTGAGGAGTCGCACTCCACGAGTTGACGGAGGCAAAGGTTCCTTCGACCGCAAAGGAAGAGTCGAGCAAGTCTTGAAGCTCCTCCTATACAAGTCAAGCTTAGCATTATAACCGACGGTATATGCAAAATTAAAGACCTTGATGGGATTGGTGAGCTCTTCGACAAGCTCTTCGGATTGCGCGTCCTCTTCCTCCTCGTCTTCGCCGTCCTCCTCTGCCTCGTTGACTTCGCTGTCCTTTTCCTCCCCGTACTCGCCTAGCTTATTATTCTCTCCTTCATCGTCCCGCATGTCGTCCTCAACATGAGTCTCGTTTCGATCGTCTTCCGTGGCCGCTGTCACTTTCGACGTCTCTTGTGCCTGCATGTCGTCGCCAAGTTTGGAGTCCAGCTGCAACAGCACAAATCAGTAAGCCTTGTGCCCTTCTTCCTGCCACCAACAGCCCCGCGACGGGGTGATCAACAACTCACAGGGACAATTGACCTTCAATTGTCTGCGTGTTTTCTACCAGTCAAAGTCAAGCCACCGCGTATGACTTTACTTGGTTGCCCAGAGGTAGAAAAAAATGCGATGAGCTCACCTTGGGGTCCGAAATTAGCGAGATATGGCAGAACTGGGCTTGGGACGTCGACCAAGTGAAAGATGTACGTAGAATGGGGACGCGACTCGGATGCGATTCGGACGCGACGTGGTCGTTGGAATTTGAAGATAACAAAGACGCGTGTCTTTGTCAGCTCCGTTCTTGCCTACGCCACAGTGTTCAGGGCCACACTTGGGCCACACAAGCTTTGACAAGACGGATTTCAGCACGAAGCTTCAGTTTCCACTGTGGACCTGCCAGCGGCGCGAGATGCACCCGACATATTTCAGAAGGGGTATTGATCCATCTTAAAGCTACAACAAAGCTGGTCATACTCAAGAAGACTCCAGTCTCCGTCCATTCTCTATCTGCCATCACTCCACTATCAAAAAAAGAGACCAGCCTTTCCTACAGCTCAATCTTCACAGAAGATGATCTCGAACTTCGAGCCATCCGAGGTACCGACGTCCGTCATTGTCTCATCCATCTTACATTCCCTCATTACAGGTACCTCCACGTCCTTTGCGTCTGAAGAACTGTCGACGTCCTCCTTGTAGAGTCTAACTCTGACCGCGGTGAAAGCATCAGTACACGTATCCATTGCTGAAACACAACCGGAAAGAATCATTGCGGAACATTGAAACTTACCCTTGACTGTCCAATTCGAAGTGCTGGCATACGAACTCCACCGTTCGCCAAACGAAGGTGGTTACGTTCGCCTCGATGGAGAACATGTGGCTTTGACAACTCGCGGCGTGGGAGACCTTGAAAACGATGAGGTTTCGCCAGTCTGGACGGTAAGTTGAGGGCTCGTTCACGTTGCTGATCCGAATCGAGGGGCGCTTCAATTTGAGAGATGACTTGGCGGAGCGGGCCCGGGCAGAGATTGGAGAGTTGCAAGCGCGACGAGCAGGAGAATCAGGGCGATCCGTCAGAACGTCTAATAAGATAAGATACGCGTAAAAATGGATAAGCACGACAATAAAGGAATGTATCGGCGAACCTGACTCTGGTAGTGCTCGTTCTCCCTTCATGACCAGCGCACGTCTTCGGAGTGGAGAAGCCTTGGCTGGGTCGATTGGTTGGGCTGTGGAACTCAAAAGTCAACTTCATTTCACAGTACAAGGCGAGCACTAATTCACTGAGCCCTTTGGTTGAGTCTGGACGGCTGATGGCTTTCTTCCGCGAAGAATGTCTTGTGACGTCGACCTTTGAGGGAGATTCTGCCTCTAATACACCATTCCTCGTCAGCACATAGTATCGGAAGTGGTCGGGAAAACAATTACCTTCTATACTGCTACCATCACTGTCAAAGTTGTCGTCTGCGCGTTCCTCGGAGTCCTTGTCTGTCTGACTTTCGTTCCTCTTCATAGCATCCTTGGGAACAACATCTTCCACCCCTCCGACGCGAACGTGGTTTCTATCCTGAGGAGCCGAATGCTGGCGGCGGGGTGGCGATGTTTCCTGTTTCTCCTTCATATCGAACATCGAAAACAGTCTGCTTCCTCGGGTCGTAGATGTGTTCGACTGAGAACGCGAGATTTGAGGGCTATTTTGCGAAGACGATAATGTTGCGATCGCGAGAGTGTTCGAGTTGTTCGAACCTGAGACGGTCACTGTAGCGTACTTGACTTGCGAAGTCGGAATGGAATGTTTCTTGGAAAGAGCTCGAAGAGATCGAATGGAGGAAGAAGTCGCGAGGAAGCTTGACCGGTTCATTTCGTGAGTTGTGCTGTACGACGTATGATCGATTTCATGATCCGTAGGGTCGAATCGTTTGAGACCTGAGGTGAGGACGGTTGCATGTTTGTCTTCAGATTCAGGATTGTCATCATCACCGGAAGAGGAAGATGACGTGGCGGTTGTAGTATTGATAGCGGGCGTAAGGTCACCTCCTGGTATTCTTGGGATAAGAATCCATTTTTCGGCCCTATAAATGTTATATTGAGGACTCACCGTCGTGCGCCGGAAGAATTTCAGCTTGAATCAAGGCATCTGAGCCCTCTTCAGCGGTGCAGAAGATGTCCAAGTCGGACTTCGAATCTTGGGCGACTTCATCAAGGTCGTTGTCGCGGACAGCAGTACCCATGGCTGCGAGGCCGTTGAAGCTTCCGTGACCGAATAACGTCGGCATAGTCTTTGACAAGTTCTCGAAGTAGCTAGCATTATCTAGTCAAACAGCGGCGGGGATCGCAATGAGCATAGACAAGATGGGCGAAAGTCACGAAAGGAGGCACCAAGATCGTCTTCGCAACCTTCTTTGCCTGTAGTTTCTTCGTGAAGAGCGCGCACGGTGATCACGTCGACAATGGCGCGAACGCAATCCCAAGCACTTGGATGGATGGGGATACTTTCGCCGCCACAGATATCGAGATCTCGAGTGCTGCATGACAGAGAGTTGATATCTTCGCAAAGGGAACAAACATCCTATTAGCCGATCAAAGAGTCAGCCGTTGAATTATGTCTACAAGAGTTTCAAAACGTACTTGCATAGAGATAGCTCTACCGACGAGCACCTTTCTCGTGCCATACTGAACAATCATCACCCCGCCGCTGTCTCTAGACCAAGAAGAGCCAGAAGCGTCACAATAATTAGTCGGATTTCCAGGACGACCTCGTGGATCATTCATGATAACCCTCGATGTCTGTTCCAGCAAGTAAGAGCTATGAGCGAGATGGCGGGCAGACCGCGGGGGGTCTTGATGAATGGTATGGAGCGATGCCAGGAGACTTGCTAAGGAAAAGATAGTAGGCCCGCCAGGATTTAAGGCCAACTATCCGTCAGAAAACAACAGGCTATAACAGAGATAAAACCCAAAAGGAAACGGGAGGGGCGTGAGGCCACGATGTCAGAGGTCGCGAGAGAGGATCTCAAGTCTGGGGGTCGGGTCCGTTATGTGCCGCGAAAGAGCCCATCGGCCTGTATTCGATCTCTTGAATACAGACGTCAATCTCTAGGTTCAGTATCCGGATCTGGGAGATACTCTATTGAAGTCTTATAAAAACCATTGTCGCAAGCGGATAGTGACTTAGACAGTCGATCCAACTTGAAAGCCGAGAACAAGTTTAAACCCCACAGATATCGTTCACCAGTCTGGCAAGCTCTCAATATAAGCAAGGATATGCGCTGACTATCGAATCTACAGCCAGGATTGAGTTGAAGTTCGGAACGTTTTGCGTGAGCAGGCGGACTGTGGCAATGATCAAACAACTCAAGTTTGAGCGGAGAATTCGGTGTTTGCCGAAGGCACACAGGCACCGAACGGCAACCGGGCCGCCGATATTACCCCTTTCGTCGAGCCTTGGCTCGGAACATCATGCTGTGCTATTCCTGTCCGTCCTTGACTCTTGCCCTCATCTCGCGATCCTGTGCGTCTTTGTTTAATCGCCACAGCCCTTGTACACAGCAATTACCCACCCTATAACGTCGCTGTGCTCCAGATTGATATAAAAGCTGATGTATCCTCAGAATTTCGCAGAGCATCTCTTCCTTACCCCCAACTTTACGCCATCCACCACTCACTGAACATGTCTTACAACGTGAGTGCGCGTCAACTGATTTCGTTGAAAGGAATTGACGATTAAATAGCAGTACGGCGGCGGATACGCACCTCCCCCTGGTGGTCCCCCTGGCGGTCCCCCTGGCTATGGAGCGAGAGGGGCTACACCTGGTGGGTTCGCCCCACCAGGGGGCCATGGAGGTCCCCCTGCCGGAGCCGATCCCCAGTACGCCTCAATGCATAGTATTCGCGTTTAAACAAAGATTAAAACTCGTTACCTTTTGTTTCATTGTTCAGACTTTGGTCGTGGTTCCTTGCCGTTGATACGGACCGATCTGGACATATATCTGCTCACGAGCTCGGTTCGTCCCGTCGCTGAATACTGGCGGTGATACTTGACCATCGATGCTGACGATGGACTGTGGGCTCTTGTGCTACAGAGAAGGCGCTTATCAATGGAGACTGGACGCGTGAGTTGATTTCTATCAAATATAGTGTGGTGCCATTGGGAGAGTTGTCTGCTTGTCTGTTTCAAGCCGGTCTATCCTTAGGGGTTCTACGAATGGCCGCTATAGTGGCATTCTCGGAATAAATTCGTCGTTCTGTGGCTTGATGGCTGACACATAGAATTGCTGCAGCTTTCGACCTCGACACAGTGAAGCTTCTCATGTCCATCTTCGTATGTCATCCCTCGTCTATGTTACGCAAACTACACCTAAATGGACGCACAGGACACCGACCGCAGTGGTACGATCGGGTTCAATGAGGTCAGTACACTTCACATCACTAGTTTTCTTACTCATCACTGACTTTCTTGCACACAGTTTGCCGGCCTATGGAAGTATATCAAAGACTGGCAGAACGTCTTCCGACACTTCGATCGGGACAACTCTGGTTCTATCGATGGTCGTGAGCTTCAGGACGCCCTTCAGCAATTCGGGTCAGTATGATGCACAATATGCACCCTGTTCCATACTTAGACGTGTTTGTCCACAGCTATAACCTTTCGCCTCACCTCCTCACCCTCGTTGAGCGTAAATACGGTGAGTCTAAGCCTTCTACCATCTTCCCATCCATTCTCACCCACCCACGATTCTCCCCCCGTGGTCGCCGCCGTCACCTCCGTCGCGAACACCGTCACCACTACACCTCCCGACACACCGCGGCCCCTCTATCTTTTCCTCCCTTACTACCTGGACCTTTACTGACGATGGTAAGATGTTAAAGCCAGCGGGGTGACCACAGGTTACGGAGCCACTCCTGGTATTACCTTCGACCGATTCGTCAGGGCCTGCGTCGTGATCAAGCAAATCAGCGAGTCGTTCGCCAAGCTGGACAGCGATAGGGATGGATGGATCCAGATCAACTACGATCAGTTCATGCAGACGGTTTTGACGCTTCCTTGATAACCTATTCATCGTGAACCAGGCAGATGGGGCGATATGTAGCAGGATATGTCTCGCATTTGGTTGGCATTGTAAGAGAACTAATGCTAGGGGAAAGCAGAAAGTGGATATGAAGCTTCGAGATGAACTTGTATTTATACATGTGCTCAGTTTGGCTGCGAATAACACGAAGTGCTTGTATATGAGCATTCAGCTCTCAGCTCGGAGGCCGACGAGACTTGCACAGATCGCTATTGTTTCGTCGACGAACCCCCAGTGTCACCGTGCGAGCCACATGCCACACGGCCGATGTAGCCCGACAAGGCGTCGGTGCGTTCGTCGGTTCATTCGGACTTGCCTTTTGATGGTTCACCTTTGTTGCGCATGACGCCCCCGACGACCTCATCTCCAGGTTGAACAAATGACCATCTCCTCAGACATGGCTTGCTGTGACTTTTCTCACTCAACCGCTTCGGAATAAAGTGTGCACGGAAGCCGAGGGCTGGGATATAAAGCTCGGTTGACCTCCTCGAGGATGACTTCTCACTGGCACCGACCACTATTGGAAAATTAGTCGACGACTACTTGCTGAACACTTGCTTGCAATACTTGCTCTTGAATTTCTGTCATGGCCACCGAAGGAGCTACCCGTCTGCGCCAACTTCTGAAGGATCCGAGCCATCTTGTCGTGTGTCCAGGAGTATACGATGGCCTCACAGCGAGAGTTGCACTTTCGATGGGCTTTGAGGCTTTGTACATGGTATGCAATACTCCTACTTCCGCACCACTTTCTTGAAACAAAGACGAACTTATGCGATTATATTTCGAAAAGACCGGAGCTGGAACATCTATCTCGCGTCTCGGTATGGCTGATCTCGGGATCGCTACATTCAACGATATGCATGAGAACGCAGCCATGTTGGCTGGTCTTGATCGTTCCGTTCCTCTGATTGCTGATGCTGATACTGGGTACGTTAGCCTTACTCCTCCACTACGATCTTCTATATTCCCGATCCACCAATCATCCTAAACCCGTTGTACTGAACTGTGGCGCACGTTTTTGTAGGTATGGTGGTCCCATCATGGCCTCCCGCACCGCAGAAGCCTACGCCCGCGCAGGGGTAGCAGCCCTGCACATCGAAGACCAAGCCCAAGAAAAACGCTGCGGCCACCTCGGCGGCAAACTCATCGTACCTACCGAAGTCTACTGTTCCCGCATCCGCGCTGCCGTTCAAGCACGAACCCGTATCTGCTCCGACATGCTCATCATCGCTCGTACGGACGCTCGTCAATCTCTTGGATTCGAAGAGGCGTGCAAGAGGTTGGAAGCTGCGGTGGACGCCGGTGCGGATGCGGTTTTCTTGGAGGGGATATTGAGTAAGGAGGAGGGGAGGAAGGTTTGTGAGATCATGGGAGAGAAGAAGGGGACGGAGGCTTGGGGAGAGGCGGGGGTCCCTTGTTTGATGAATTTGGTTCCGGGGGGCGTGAGTCCGGACATGACTGTTGAGGAGGCGAGAGAGTTGGGATTTAGGATTATGATATTCCCCACGATTGGCATTGAGGGCGCGATCAAGGGAGTGAAGGAGTCGATGGGCCTTTTGAAGAGCGATGGGAGACAGAAGTTGGAGGAGGGGCAGGGAGTGAGAGAGGCGTTCAAGCTAGCAGGGTTGGATCATTTGATGAAGATCGACGATGAGGCAGGCGGGGTCAACCTCAAGAGTGCTTAATTATAGTGAACTTGGGAGACGAGCCACTGAATTGGAGAACTGTACGAGCACAAATCTGCTGAAGTTATAATTGTTCAAGTTATTACTTATTGACATACAGAAGTGTATCCTCGATAATTCGTTTTCGATGTCACGAATGATCACTTTGGTTTTGTTCTTCCTCGTAAGTCTCACCCGAAACGCACTTGTGTACCGGTTCGGTTCACGTCATTACCCTCCCGACGCTTACGCAGATCCGGGCAGAGTGACCTTTATAGCTACAATATTTCCATTCACGATCGATTCGCTTTGCTCGAGGAGGGTCGCCTCCGTTGTAGTCGAAATAGGTCTACTAACATCGCATAGACCTTTCTGTAAGGAGCAACACAGGCTATTAATCTCAATTCGACTAGCCCTTCATGATGATAGAGTTCACCTAAAGCCGGAGCCAAGATCTTTGGAGTCTGCATTTAGGCATCGTACAAAACGAGGTACGACGGACGGATCGCCTTGTCCGTATACACAACGAGTTCGTCATAGTTCAAACTTCCACCAACTTCTGCCAGAACCTGATGGTAGTACCGAGTTAAACCGAAGTTCAAAAATGATGCCAAGCAATGCAAGGAAGAAATACTCACCGAGTCATAGCCCGCCGGCGGTGCCGTAAATGAGGGCATGTCGTGCTTAACCTTGTATCCATTACCAACAACGACTTTGTTGAGAAACATCGCCTTGTACGGCGAAGGAGTAGATCCCGCACGTCGAGCATATGCATCGGACCTGAGGTATGAAATCAGTCGGGATCAAGAGTAAGAGCTTAAAGGATGGCTGACTTCGACGATGTTGCAGAGGTATATATACCTTTCCCAAATCTATATGTGATCGTCAGGCGGAATGATAGCGGGCATTAGATACTGAAGTTCCTGCAAAACCTTGGCAGGCGCACCTTCCCCAGCCGGTACCCTTCATGTATGCCTGGATGTCATACGACGATTTGATGATACCACAAACACTGCAGTTTGCACCGTAACAGAGAGCCGTGTAACTTGGGTCATCACCGAGATTGCATGCTCTCAAGGTTCTGCGGGTTCAGCGAGACGGACGGTCAGCAAGGAACAAGGATGAGCCAAAATTGCGTGCTATGTAAAATACATACCCATGCCATCGCCGATTCTCGTTACCGGGAGTCTTACCCTTAGCTTTGAACTGGCCTCGACTTTCAACTTCGTCCCTGTATCATGGATGGCTCATAAAGATGAAGTATTACATGCGCGTGGTGAGGATGAACATACAGGTACTGGCGGTAAATCTGTAAATTAACCTTGGTAGAGACAACGAGATAAACTCGTTTGACAGATGGACACAATGTGGCATGCTTCCATGAATTCATGAATTGGTCCACGACTGACACGGAAAAAGCAGAGGCTCTGTGTTTGAGATTATATTATGCTCATAGTGATGAAGTACTCACCGCTACGGAAGGTGATATGGTCTCCTGGGATTTCCAGAATACCTGGAGCAGCAGACTCCCCCTGATTGTGGCACGTCCTTGAACAATAATGGGAGTCAGGCTGCTTCGTTCGCCGTCTGCATTGGAGGCAGGAAGTATTGACAGGACTATTATCATCAAAGTATAATATATTGTTGGTTAGAATTTGCGATATAGAGATGAAAATGCAGCTCACGGAGGCGATCCAGCGGTTAGGTTTGCTCCAGCGTTCTTGGCCATCGTGGCACAACCCTTGCCACAGAAAGGGTGCAGTATACCACTACCAGGCTCTTTGTAACGCGGTCTCCTATTGCAGTACTGTGGGAGTTATAAGATATCGGCACCATCACGAGAGTAAGGCTCGTTGAGAGATAACTTACGAGGCAGTACTGCTCTGTACCAGACGGAGGGGTTACATGTGCTTTCGCAAAAGTGGCACATGTCTTGCCACAGAACGGATGAAACATGCCTTGAGTGTAGAGACCATCAAAGTGAGAGATGAATGGTGAATACAGCTACGCTCTGAGAACTGACCAGTGCTATCATCCTTCAGGCGAGGTCGTGCATGGCAAAACTGAGATCATCTCAAGTCAGGATCATCCTTTTTCACAGTCACCGCTCAAAATCCAAAAATCACATACATCGCATTGTCCAGGACTGGAGTAGGAGCACATATCCAAAATCCTTAGCAGTCCCGATCAGTGTAGTGGGCGTAAGTCAGAGAGATGGCTGCCACAACAATATTGTATCGTCATGACCTTTTTCCAACCACGACGCCACATATATTCCATTAATAGATCAAAGGAGCACCCGAATGTGTGGCTACGCCATCGCATCGGTCCTGCTGCCGCATCCAGTTCACCTTGCTTGCCGAGCTATAGCATCTGTATATGTACGACCGTATGGTCAACCCCTGTAGATTCGGCACACAAGATGAAGGGCACGCTGCACGAACAGGGCTTCCAGGTCATGGTGGTAATTTCGAACGAAGAGAATTGGAAGAGAACGTCCACTTTGAACAAATCGGTGTAAGAATATAAGTACGACGATGGCAACCCTCGACTAGGAGGTCCGGGTGAAGAGACAAATATCGGCTCGATGATGTACACTCAGACTATTTGAGCCCATGAAGTCTCAGCATTGATGCTATGTAACATGAGCGCCCAGACCATGTATTGTGCCATACGGTCCCATCAATCATCCCACTGCAGATTTGTGTACATTGTACCTACAGAGACCGCAAACTGTAAGGAGCGGGCTCGACGGATATTCTCAATACGATAGTCCAAGTCTTTTGCGACTGCACTGGGATGAATAAGTTCTGTGATCATGAACAGCGCCCCAATGTTGCCGCTGTACCAGGCGAACATCGGAAACAAAGTGAGTGATTCCAACCTCTGCAGGGAAGTCGCAGCGTTGAAAATATCAGCCTACATGATGACGAATATATCGGTGAGTAATTTATTGAAAAGAACAGCAGAAACAAAATTGAGAAAACTCACAACCATATCCGCGTCGTGAAACACACGGAACGGTGTGACGACCCCAAGAGTCAATGGTCCAGCATACACCACATTCCGACGCCACCTGGTGTCGGCCATGGATAAGCCCAATTTCGTCAGGTTCGAGCACTGCGCAATTGCGTTCCAATGGCTCGTATTGTAGGACCAGGCAATATCACATGCCTGGAGGGAGAGTTCTTGAAGGGTGCCAGCGTGTGTCGGAAGCACATTCTCAAAGAACAGCACACGAAGGTGTGAATCGGAGGGGTCCTCGCGAAGTCCAGACAGAACGAGCTTCGTAAGGCCAGTATAAGAGACGAGGTATCGAAGACTACCTTCGTCGAAGCGATTGCTGACTAGGCCGCTCAGCTTGATGGAACATTCATGCAAGCGCTCGAGGGATTCCTCGGGAACGAAGGCAGGAGGAGCTACACAGTCGATTGTCAACGTCTCTAGTAACTGGAGATTTGGAAGAGTCCTTGCGTCCAGAGTTGGGCGAAAGCCGACGAGTGCGAGGGTTTTGAGCTGCATCGGGTTGGACTCCGGGGGATAGTCTGCGAAAAGGTCGCCGAATGTCGGCAGCGTCGCATACCGGGATGCTCCCCAGCTCTGGGATATGCGAATAGCAAGGGCCTCGAGGGTAGGACTGTTCTTTATACATGCCATAAGTGATTCGGCAAAGGCGGACGAATGAGCGTAATGAGTCTCAATGGATATATCAATATGTCGAAGGCGATGGAAGTGACCAATTGGGATGGAGGTCGGCATGTATTGCACGTCAAGTGCGAGAGTGCGTAGGGTTGAAGTCGTGGATAGCGCTTCAGCGATAATGGGATCTCCTATGCTGCCAGAGAACATGCGATGCGGAAGAATCCACCTGTGCGGCCAAGAGGTATGCAGATTAATTCATTGAGTTCGACATGGGTAAATGAGCAGATCTGAATAGATACGTGTACTAACCTGACGGAGTGGACATAGCGCAGGGCACGAAGAGCTTGAATGAGTAGAGGAAATGTATGCTCATCCGCCCTAGCGCTGATATCGGTTGGATGATACCAAGCCCGGAGTACGAGATGTTTTGTATATGTACACGTCGGACTGTCTCCGGATGCGATGCGTGAGAGACTATTATCGAGTTCTTCAGGAACACGTCCGATGTCCACGGTCAGGTAGAGCGTCTCGAGCAGAAGTGGCTCGACAATCATATGAAGTGCTCGGCAAACTTGGTACAAGTGGACATGATCCTCATGAGGGAGCTATAATTCGTTACAAACAAATTCATTAGATTTGAAAAACAACTTGGCGCGCAGACACGTACACGAGTACAGATATGCTCAATGAGCTCTAGAGGAAGCGACATGAGATGGCTCCTGGCGGTAGTTGGCTCCGTAGCTTTATACAATTCTCCACGTATCCGTTTTGGCCTTAAAAAAACCTTGCGGGCCTACGAAACGAAAGTTAGGTCCAGGGCCAAGCAGACTGCACGACGATGCTAGGAGACCACAAGATACCTTGTCTCGAATCGTCCGAAAGCGCCCCTTCGATCGCAAGCTTGTGCTGAGCTTCATAGCTGTCTTAGTATCTCAGAAGGAAGACAAAGAGCGTAGCACTTCAAAGGTTGTGTCGAATCAGAACTAGCAGCCAAGTGTGAGTAGCTGAGGTGTGCCCATGGTCACTGGTCAGTTTCGAGGTCTCCATACCGATGCCGGATCCTTGATCCGGTACCCGGCAGATGCGGAGGAAGACGCCCTGCGAATATTGCAGAACCCAGACCAAAAGCCTAGGAAACTCCCCAATATAGAAGTCAGGGAAGCAAGCATTTGGAGGTAAAGAAAGAAACGAGACACGAAGACAATAACCACCATGACCGTGACACTACAAAACAGAACGAATGTGGATGAACAGAATTCAAGTGGCGTCCCGGGTTCGAAAGGGCCGGCGCCACAACATCACGGTCACGTGGATCCCCAATTGACAATTCGAGCGCCGCGCGGCGTTCTCGCGACGCGTCGCCGCTTTCCAACCATAACCACGTTGTTCTTTAACTCTCCCCACCCACCGCTCCTGAGCTTGTTGTCTATCTTGTCATCTGATAAATCTTGAGGGTACCACTGGAACATATCCATGCGTGTAGTATCCATACTCCATCCCAGAAATGGCACAAACGGGGCGGACTTCGCCGTCAACGAGTCCGGAGAGGTTCTGGTGTTGAAATATCAGGGCGAAGCCATCCTCAGCGAGGTCCCCGAGACATTTGTAGTGCGTTAGCCTCTTTTTATCTTTTCAAAATAACAGGCGCGAATTGAATGTTCGCGACTGATAGGATTTAGAAGAGACCTGCCGTGACACGTTCTCTCTCCCTAAAGCCGCCACCCTCATTTTCGAAACAAGTGACTTGAACATCTGTCAGGGACAGCCGGTCAAGATCATGCGAGGTGCTTGGGCTGCGATTCGTCTTGTCGTTGGTGCTGTCACTGTCAGCATCAAAGGTGATAGACAAAGGGTCCATGACGAAGGCAAGCCTCTTTATTATTTTCGTCCATTTGTATGTTGACTTTGACCCGATCTGGATAGGAAGAGTCTCGTTCCTCCCATTCACTGAAGTTCGCGTTGAAGAGACCGAATACTCCCATTCGCTCTCTACCAGCAAGCACGGCATACCTGCAGGATCAGCTCGCAAGCCTCATCCTCGTACATATCACGGCACCCCGCAAGAAAACGACGCCGCTCCTATCCTTCCTCCTACCTCCCCACTGGCTGGCAAATCCCCCGCCCCCTTGCGTAACACACTTCAACCGCACAGAGGCTTCAATCCAGACGATAATGATGACGCAGGCGAAGATGATGACGACAGAGTGAACGCAACTCTTGATGATTTCGAAGACGACGAGGACGAGAACGAGCCTCCAGTTCGGTCTCCAGTCAAAGGTAAAGGTAAAACACCGATCCAGCGTCAGATCCTCTCGGATGACGAAGAGGAGAACGACGAGAATGAACGGCCTGCGTCGGATGTTTACGTCGATAGTATCTCGTCGGCGAGGAAGCCGAGGGTCTCCGTTGGCCACCGTACTGTCCCGCAACAAGAGACTGTGAATGACATTTTCTCTCCGAAGGCGAACAAGACTGCGAGGACACGCGTCCCTTTGACTACATCTCCGGACTCGGATGACGATGGTGGAAGAGGGACTAAAGGCTCGGAGTCGACGGGGGGGAGGGGCAGCTCAGATACTTATGAGTTTGTAATGTCGCCGCGGGAGACGAAGCGAGTAGCGAAGAACGCAGAGGACTTGTTCATGGATGATGGGGATCTGGATAATCAGGAGAATGCCGGTAGAAAATGTTCGGTTTATATTCCTAGTCCCGCTGGTGTCTTGATACTGATGAGGTTCTGCTACAGCTGCGACGCCTAGACGTACGCCGGTTTCTCAGAAGAAGCCTTCATCCCGCATCAACCGTGAAGGTTTGCCTTTTCGGTTTTAAGCCACATCCTCGTAGTTTGACTAAAGCGCTATCGATCCAGACGAGCACATCGCTGCATCCCTCTTCAAACCTGCAACCTCAAAGTTCAAGCCCGCCCAGACTAGTTCCAGTCATGCGTCCGATCGCGACGATACTTCCCAAGCACCAACAGAGTCCAGCCAAACTACTGTCGTCTCCGGACCTGAAGACAAGCTCCTCATCACGATCTCGTATCCTCCCGGCGAGCAGTCCTCCAAGTTCAAGGTGAAGGGGAAACATAACGTCGGGAAAGTGCTGCAGAGCGCTTGCAATGCGTTCGGATTGGATTACAATTCGTAAATATCATTTCTCGCTGGATCAATCTTTCTCTCGCTACGTATGGTTGCTGACCGCTGTTCGCATGATGTAGGGCGCATCTATATCTGCAGGACGGTCTCGAAGACGGTGTGGAGATGACCTATGAGTGTAAGAAGAGTGATACGTTGGCCGGGTCCGGAGTTGGACAGGGTGCAGCATTCATCATTGCGCTGGACGACGATGAGGAGTGATCACTTCCCGTGAACGAACAGTGAGGTTGCCTGCCTGACTTAAGGTGGGAATGGAGATGATTTTACCTTTCTTGGCTCGCTATTGGACAATCAACAACATATGCGTACTCCTTTGTTTCACCATTATGCCCACAACCTTGTGACTCTTTGTACCAGCACCCATGCCTATCTTGTTTTCTTGTATCTGCTTTCCTCTCTAAAACCCCTGTTTGTCTCGAATTGTATAACGCTTTGTTCAATTGGCACGTACCGATCTGCCTCAAATTCTGCGTGCTTCAATCGCGTTGTGCTTTATGATCCATTTTGGCAATCAGCTCCGTACGTCAAAAAAGATGGTTTACGTTGAAGTGGTGTTTTGCCACACTGCAGACGCCACAATTCTGTTTCGGACTGCGACGGACGAGGAGCAAACCAAGATCGCAAATCCAACGAGACTAGCATTCAGGATCGTAAGAAACCCTAAGAAACATAGGCTTTTGGGCACGTCGTGACTCGTGAGGTAAGTATTCCCGCTACTTTAGTAGTGGGTCTTACAGGAAGTATCGTTTGGTTTTTGGCGGAGAATCGTGCAATTCCCTTACATGGAAATTGCTGAGTCAGAATCGGATCGGATCTTCCGCGCTCCTTCCGCGCTCATCATCGCACGTGCAGGCTCGGGTGCATTTGTCTACTGTACAGTTGTGGCTGCCTCTCGCGCGTCGCCGTCTTCGTTCTGCTTTGCTTTCTGCAACGTCGTCCATCTTCGCCCATTCGCGCTACATCCAATATCATCGCTTTCTGTCTTGCTATCACTCCTCCCTCGCTCTCTGTATTCAGCCGTTTCGAGGCCTTGATGTGCTCATTCTCGTAGAAGTTACTCCGAGATCTCTTCGCGCTTTTCGCTACTGCACAAAACACAGCAAACTCTCAATGTTGCTCTCAGAACCTTCCCGCTACTCTGTTCGCTCTGAGATCTTGTAATTCTTCCCACTGATTGTGGCTCTTACCATTCACATAAGTTTTTTCTCGGTCATATCGGGAACTTCTGGTGTGGACTGGATACCTGTTCGCCCTCCACATGGGATGGGTCTTCTATACGGCCTGATGCCTCGTGTACGTCCCTTTTCCTTCTCATACATTGTCTGTCTTATGTGCTTTCGCCTCGTAGTGTTTCTCGTTACAAGTGATTGTCGCCCTCCATCTCCCACTGCTCGACCACCTCGGTCTTGAGCAACCACCTGCCGCCCAAGTGGGCTCTTCTGCTTCCCATGTGGGACGATTTACTGCTGCCCATGTGGGTTCTTTGTCTTCTGCTCCTTCGTCCGTCCGTTGCTGCACCTACCCATTCGTCGATGTCTGTTGATTGTAGTAATACCTGTGTATAATATTTTTGTCTCAGTTGATGGCTATTGTCAATTGGATATAGTCTCTGCTGCCCCTTCCGATACTTTGTGCATGGTTGCTCCTATATTTTGATCAACAAGCATTTGTTCCCGGTCCCTGATGATAGTTCGCTGTGCATGCATGCATCCCAATCACCAGTCAAAGAATACTGAAAGCTCGCATCACAGCACTTAGGAAGGAATATTCATGTAGTCGGCTGAGCCTTAAAATGAATGTGCTACAAAGCTTTCGTCAAAACACGAAGGTTAGCCGCAGCTTACTCTCCCATTATTTGAGCAAATATCAATTATTATGTTCCGTGAAGTTGCATTGTCTGATGCACTGGTTGGGTAGTACGAAGCATTACAGCGAGTTTCGAAATGATACGGAACTCCATCTTTCGCATTTTGGCTCAGCCACAGCTCGGCAGTGACGGATCATGCGCGGCACGGGAATTTCCGCAAGGCTTGCCTGTGTGTGGCCCAATGCACAAAGTGCTCGATGACCTTTCAAATTCCTGTGCGTAAATAAACAGGGAACCGAGAGGAACATATGGGAGGGAGGAAATTACCCAATTATAGAATATTGATGAGTGCTAGATTCACATAATGTTCTTCAAAGGTTTTGGTGTGCGTGCAGGCTTCTGGCGACAAGCATGGGGCAAGTCATCACTTGACAGTTTCTTCTAAGGTCGTATTTCTGTGAAAATATTGCCGTATAGACATTTGTACTTATGGATGTATTTTACAGAGCTTTCTTCTTGATTACACTGACGGACAGAGCGAGAAACATGGATGGCCACAGTTGGGCCACAGCGGTTATACAAAACGGTCCAGACAAGTTCGCGGAGACCTCCGTGCCGTCGCAAGCTCCGTCGCTGCCGAGCTGTGGCTGAGCCAAAACGCGAAAGATGGAATTCCGTATCATTTCGAAACTCGCTGTAAAAGTCAGTTCGTGGTCATCCTTCCAAGTAGCGGGACCTGCCGTTCACCGGCCTTACGCCTGCGTTATCTAAATTTGGTTGAGGGAGAACGAGTCAAATGTGAGCACTCTGCTAGACTTGCGAAATCTCGCTCCTGAAGATATAGATCGCTACAAGACCGTGAACCACTCTGTGGCTTATCACAAGTCAACAAACCATGATGCTCCGACCAAAGTCATGTCCTTTTATACTTCTTGCCAAACCCAGAAGGGCACACTACACCACATCCGTCACGCATGGGTCACCCCCGCTCATCCACATCCCAAAATCCAAGGTATATCGTTTCGGAGACCCAAATAACGCCCGACCTATTTTCCATGACCTCGATTGGACAGTACGCGAAGGAGAATCATGGGCCGTCGTAGGCTCAGGGTCAGGCGAGAAGACGGCTTTATTGGAGGTGTGTACTTTCCCCTTCACTTCACGGAAGATCACGTTGTGTTCTGAGCGGCTCAGACTCTCATAGGGCATTACCGTGTCGCACCCTCTCCTCCCGGTGGCCCGTTCCCTCTTTTCACATCCCAAAACTTAGAGTCGACTCGTCCATTGCACGAACTTGTAACGCTAGTGAGCTTCGCTCATCGACCAAGAGCATCAGGTGGCGCTTTCTACGACTATACCGCGCGCTATGGAGCTGTCCGCGAAGAAGATCGGGTCACACTCCGTCAGAGTATGTTTCCTGAACACTCCACCAGCAATCCCGATCATCCTCCACTCTACTCTATCGAAGAAACATCGAAGTCGTCCAAGGACGGGATGGCAGAGAAAAAAAAGCAGGTGGAGAGGCAGAAGAAGTTCGAGGAGTGGGTCAGCAAGTTGGGATTAGAGCAGTTCTTGGATCTTCCGTTCATTGCGTTGAGTAATGGACAGACGAGGAGAGCGAGGATTGTTAAGGCGTTGCTGGATAGTCCGGAGTTGTTGTTGTTAGACGAGCCTTTGAGTGAGTGGTTTCTCGTATATTCCAAATGTCTGATGCTTAGATGATGCTTTCAGCTGGATTGGATATCGACACGCGGCCCATGCTCCTAGAAATGCTTCATGCTCTACACGAGTCACGAAATCCGCGCGTCATCATGGGCCTGCGGTTGCAGGACCCTATTCCGGAATGGGTATCTCACCTTGCGTTGGTGAGGAGTGGAAAGGTTACTGCTGGACCGAAGGCGGATATACTGGTAGAAACCGAAGAAGCGAGGCATCAGGAGAAGGAGAAGAACTATGCTGTTGGAATGTCTGGTGCAACAAAAGGCGAAGGGCGGGCGCTGATAGAAATGAAGGACGTGAATGTGAAGTATCACGAGCGCCACGTAGGTACTTGATTGTGTCCTTCGTATACATACCGCACTAAAGTCTGTCGACAGGTCTTGAAAAACATCAACTGGACGATCCGCACCGGTGACCGGTGGCACCTCCAAGGTGCAAACGGTCAGTCTTTCTGATGAACGGTGGCCTCTCTTATCTTGCTCACGTTCGCTCGACAACCACAGGCTCCGGAAAAACCACCCTCTGCTCCCTCCTCACCGGTGATCATCCTCAATCCTACACTCAACGCTCTCCGTCCATCTTCTCCCTCTTCGGCTCCCCAAGACGCTCTCACGCCCTCACGATCCTCCGCACCCGTATCGGCGTCGTTTCTCCCGAACTGTATAATGCTTGGCCGCGAGCGAGACCGATGACGGTATGGGAGGCTGTTGGCACCGGGTTCGACGGAGGGTTCGTCCCATTGGGTGATATGGGCTTGGGAGTAGGGTTGAACGGAGTATTGAATACAGAGGAAAGGGCATGGAGAGAAGGGAGGGTGAGGGAAGTTCTAGAGGGCCTTGGGCCACATACTTGGGGATCTGTTCCAGAAGCGAGTCAAGCTACTGACGCGAAGGCATCGGAAACGAAGTTCGAACACAAACTGTTCTCGAGTTTGTCGGCAGGTGAACAGAGCGTCGTGCTCCTTATGCGGGCTCTGGTAGGCCGACCGGAATTGGTGCTCTTGGATGAGGTATGGGCGGGGATGGACGAGGGCATGATCGAGGCTGCGAGGCGGTATCTGAGGGAGGGTGGAGGCGTAGGTGCAGAGCAGGGTGTTGTTGTGATTAGCCATTGGGAGGATGAGGTTCCGTGGGGCGTTGAGGATGGCGTGAGAAGATTTAGGCTGGAGGATGGTGCTGGGAGAGAGGCTTAGCGATATCCAGAGGCTCGGAGGCTTGGGGTAAAAAAAAGGTTCACGGCAATATGCTTATACGTATATCTTATGGTGCGCCCACGAAGAACATCGAACCCAATATATTGATTACTGAGCACCATGTATGGTTATTATAGTAATATTGTCCATATGCATCACACGCGATGAAAGAAAACACTGTAAACCATCCCAAAATCCGACGATATAAATCGGAACGAATCAGCAGCTGACGCTCTCCGAGGTGTTCAAGACGACTTCGGTCTGCACGTCTCCGTTGTCGTACGCAGTTTCGTTCTTCCAGCCAATCTATGCATTGCTCAATGTCAGCAACCCTTAGACTACTTGGACGATAAACAGGGAGAAATCTGTACATACAGAGTAAACACCAGTGGTGCCAGTGATTGGCTTCGCAGCCCAGATTCCGCTACCATCGGCGTGGGAGAGCTACAAAGACGCACGAATATCAATGTCTATCCCGTCGAAGAGGTCAGTGAGCACAAAACTTACCGTAGTGCCCACAGTCGAAAGCGGGGAGGAAGACCACGGCGCCGGTGCGCCCTGTGTGAAGGAGGTGGTCGTACTGCCCGCGGGCAAGCTTCCCAGGGCACTCTCCTCGACCCACTCAAAGTTCCACGTAATCCCATCTGCCTGGGCAACCAACGCGCCCACCAGTCCGGCATTCGGGCAATCTTGGACGATCCCGCCGTTCCCGTCGAGGTGAGCCGAGATGGTTTCGCTGTCAGTGGCGACCATGGTCATGCCATAGCCGTAAGAGCCTTGAGTGAGACCGATGTAACCGGTGCTTTGACCGTAGGGGGAGGTGGAGGAGTAGGTAAGAGCGACAGGAGAATTGCTTTGGCGGGGGGTAGGGGTCGCGAGAGCAAACGCTGGGAGGAGGGAGGCGAGGAAGATGAGAGGGGCGCTGGTGAGCTGCATTATGGTGATGATTATGAGATGTAAAGTGAAGTGAAGAGGTTTAAAGGAAGGTGTATGCGGTGTATGCGTTTCGAGGAAAAACGGATGGCTCTCGAAGGTACGCTAGTCTTGCCTTTATACATGTTTAGAGACGGAGCTTCCGTCTCGTAACCGCCTCAAACCCAAAGGGTTAAAGGCTACATCTGCCCGTTGATGCATGTGGATCAGATGCGTTGAAGCATAACTTTGATGTGAACAAAAAGGTAGAGGGCCTGGGCGAGTCTTGTACGTGGGCCACTTTCACAACAACAAAGTTCGTCGAACGAATCATCAGCGCGGGGAATTAGGCCGCCGATCGCGGAACACGAAGCTCGGAAAGCAGTGCGTTTGCTCACTAGACGTCCAAGCGCTGTGAGCCATTGGGCCTGCCTCGAACTTGATTTGCTATGGATCAGAGTCGGTAATCCCGAGAAATGCCAAGCCCGGCGGAAGTTGTCCACCGTTTCGAACGGTTCCAACTTGTCTTCGATGAAGCGGTGAACCAACGGTGAACTCTGGCCTGGCGGCTGTCCACAATTTGGCCACCGATACTGCCGTTTGCATAGAAGACTGAACGCACCGTTTTTTTTCGCGCCGGGCGTCTGATCTCTAGGTGACCGTGACGACGCGGTCCGTCAGGGTCCGTCGAGCGCCGACCATCTTTCTTGGGCCACAGTACGACTATGTAGTAAGTTACTGCCGTTGTCGAGGCCGGTCAGTTTGTATGCCTAGTGAGGTAGGGAGCATGAGTTTAAGGACTCAAAAGCATAGAAAAGCTACTGGTTGCGTCGAAACCACTCAGACGAGATCACTTATATCCTTGTGGTTCCATACAGAGGTAAATTTCTACCAAAGCAACTGTGGCACCAATAGATTCAAGCCGACTCGCAACCGACTCGCATACTTACCAAGTCAACACGATGCCCTGAGATGAAGCAAATTATATCGCAATTGTCTGCATCTTGTATGAC